CATACATATTCACCCAGGCTTTTTTTGGTTTGTAATTTATTGCAATTAGTCCTGCCGCTCCACCTCACTGCTCTGGGTACTGCTATGCGCTCTTAATGCAGTTGGAATAGTTTTTAATAATATATTTTAAATGTTTTAATGTTTATTTGTAAACTCTTTAGAGATATTAAGTGATATACTATCACAAATAAATAAATGAATACTAACTATAAAGAAAATATTATTTAGAAAATAATTGGTAATACAAATTAAGTGGCCGTGCACAAACACACACAAAGGGGGGGGGGTAGGTCAATAAAATCAGTAAAAACACCCAGTTAAAACGAATTACCTTATATTTTCAAGACAGCTTACGGGCTAGAGAGCTGCCTAAATAAAAATGCGTTATAGGGCTAGCCATGCCTCTTTTAGCATAGAGTTCCAGAGCTTGGGAATCACCACGGAGAAATCCCTGATCTGAATTACTTCTAAATAATGTCGTGAGCAGAGCCAGCTGGGGGTCAGACTAGACGTCCTAGGAGGCCCCTTCTGACTCGCACTGTTTCTATGTTTCTAAATGCATTTCAGACGTTGGCAGGACAGACAGAAGGGCTTCTTTGAGGTTCTTGGTCAACAGTCTTGCTGCAGAAGCCTGAAAACAACCAGCTGAATTTTCTGAACACTCTTCAAAGGCAGCCCCAGGTAGAACATGACATGTTAGTCCAAACATGATGTAATTAAAGCATATGGCACCACTGCCAGGTGATATTTCCAGGGGTGGCCACATTGGGCCCCTAGATTCAACCCTGCAGAAGTGCTTGGCATTTATACTCACTCCAGAATCCATGAGCACACCCCAAACTGCAAACCCAAGTCTCCATGCACCCGCTTCAAGATAATTTGAACCTTCCGTGTCCAGTTCTGCCTTTTGACTAGCCAGGAGCATTTCTGTCGTGCCTGGATTAAACCTCAGTTTGTTCACCCACATTCTGTCCACAAACTAGACACAATAACATATTGTTCAACTCCTAGAAGCATAATGAAATTATGTTTTCACGTGGCTCTGAAAGGCTGTAGATGATGGGAACCCACAGGGAAGGGTATTTTCAGCATCACTGAAAAATTCTGCTAGTGGTAAATGTCCGCCTAGCTTCCACAAGAGAGAGAAACTTTAGCAGGGTCTTATTGACCTATAAGAAAGTTTGCGGGAGATCATATGAAAGCAGATGACACAGATGTTAAGATGCTTAAGAGGTAGAAATTCAATAGGTATTTTCAAGACTGTAAAGGGAAAGCTTCCCTTGAAAGCAAAAATCGATTCCATACGTGGTAGACGTCCGTGCCTGGCTTGCGCCACTAATACCGAGAAGAGAAACTCCTGAGTTGCCGCAAGAGCCCGTGGCACCTTAAGAGCTCCTTGGGCGATTTTGTCCTGAGTAGATCCCGCAGTTTATCGGATGCACGGACCGTCGTCTTGCTCGCACAATAAAAGACAACCCAGTGCCAAGAGTCGCCTTCTCTCCACTCTTTCAAAAACAAATGCGAATTTGCACACAGTTACATAGAGGAGAAGATTCAGCGCGCCGCTGTCTCTCCCGTCTCTGTAGCGCTGTGACGGGAAAAGCCACGTCGGAGGCGCGGGATGCGGGGGGGGGGGTCGATCCTATGCCACTCTTAAAGGTGCAAGACAACGACGCCCCTCAGAGCGCAGATCCGGCAGCGGCTGGATTGTTCGCCCTGCCGTTTGCCTCTACGGCGCGCTCGGCACTAGGACCTGGCGGCCGCCCCTGAGCGGAGGGATCGCCCTCTCCGCTGGGTCCATCTGCTGGGTCCGTGCGCCTCCCAGATGCCCGGCTAAGACCAACCAGGCTCTTTTGTTCTGCAGCGGCCGGGCGGTGAGAGGTTTCCCACCGGACGCTCATCTCCTCCCCACCCACCGCCGGCCCATTGAAACCCTCAGCTGCCGCAGATCACAATGCAAAACAGGTAACAGCCGCTGCTGCCTATGTCTGCTGGATTGGGTGGGGAGCATCCCCTCTCTCGCTTCCAGTATAGCCTGGAGCAGAAATGGGGCGGCGCGGGGGGTAAGAGAGAGGCATAAAGCTCCGGGCGCTTATCTGCAGGCGGGGGCGCCAGGGGGAAGGGGACGGTAGGCTTGGATATGCGGGATGGATGAGAGGCGATTGCATTGCTATGTATTCTCTGCCTTTTGCGAGACTGCTTGTGCTGAAGAGATAATGAATGGAGCTGGGTAATATCTTTTTAAAATACAGATTCTACTAGTGCATTTTTCTCCTATTAAAAATACTAGAAATCTAGGTTACCTAGAAGCCAATTCCCACCTCCTTTTTTAAACGCAGGAAAAACAAAACCATCTGTCTTGTCTTTGAATCGCAAATGCCAGAGGGTTGGCTTGTGATGATCCAAGTAGTGAGAGCAGTGCACTCGGCACATGCCCAGAGGTGCTTTTTTCTCCATTCCAGAACAAAATCAATCCCAAGCTAAACACATGGAAAAGGCGCACTTAGGGTCATTTTAGAATCTGTTGCTAGATTCTGGAAATTCAATGTCCCAACACTGCCAAAGGTTTGGTTCACATGAAACTGGTTATTCTGCTATAGCCGTGACAGGGACCAGATCCAGAAAACATGATTACCCACATTGAAGGCTGAGTTTGGGTTATCCTTCAGTTAGCATGTTGTCTGAACCCACCTGCACTAGCTAACAAGCCTTGGTTTATTAATCATAAATCCAGTGAAGAAAACCCATGCAAATGCAATTGCTCACCATGGTTTGTTAACTCAGTAAGGTTTAGAGAACATAACCCATGTTTCACCAACAAGCCACGGTTTAATGACTGCTCGCACTCAACCCTTGAATGTGGGTTATCATTTTGTCTGAACCTGTCAGAGACTTGATCATATGATTTTAGCTGGAGGTTGTGCATGGATTCCCTCAAATCCCTCTTTTCCAGTGTTAAAAACCTGTAGAATCAGTAGACTGTGGAACTAAAATGAATTTAATGGTGCTGGGGGAGGGGGGAATCTCTTTTCCTAATTCAAATTGCCTCCAGCATTTTTACTGGAGCCCCTCTGTTTATTTTCTTCCCCCTTAACATTTCCAGTAGTGTATGCTGTTGGACTTTAGAGAGAGAGAGAGAGAGAGAGAGAGAGAGAGAGAGAGAGAGAGAGAGAGTTTGTGGATGTTTGTTTAGAAAAGTGCCAAAGAACTGGATTTGGCAATTTGATGTATAACATGATTGGTTTAAAATGAATCAGCTAAGTTTAAAATTTTCAAAATTTCTCAGTTTCAAAAGTAAAATTTCAAAATGTTCAAAATTCACACATTGCCAAATTTCAAATTTTAATAAAATGGAATTGCAGCTGTGGTTGGTCCTATTCTGTATTTCTGCATATTTCAGTAGAACTGGAATAGCAGCATCTAGAAAGGATACTGGTAGGGGCTGGGAGACTGTTTTTTATCAAATGATACCAGTGCGAATGTATTAATATTCTGTTTGACATATTCTAGAGTTCTTTGAAAATGGGTTCCACAATCCAAATCTAGGCTCTATATTTTAGCCCTTGGGTGCTCTACCAAGACATACCTATTATATTTGCCTTGAGATAGATGCACATCTATCCCCTAGTAATGGCAACAGATAATTCCCAATAGCGTGTGAGTTTTTGCAGCTGTTATTGATTGTACCTTAGGACTAGATGGCAGCCCCCAAAGATCCCTGGAAATCATACATTCTGAGAGTTAGGTACCTATCTGGTATCCTAACTATCTTGCTTAATACCCACAAACCAGTCTGTTCTACTTGTGAAAGTGAGATAAATGTTGAATTAAAAAATGCAACATGCCTGCAAGTCTTCTGTGAATGACACACAAATCAGAGTCACACACAGTTGAAATCTTGCTCCTTTTCTACTACTACTCATGCCTTTGAGTCAGTCCCCAGCTCCCACTCCATCCCATTGCCTATATGTTACCACATTGTTTGGTAATTGCATAGTTTCTCACAATTGCTAATGCAGCTCGGAATCCTCACTTTGCCCATAAGCACACATCAAATGCAGGAGAAAAACACAACCCCTCTTGTGGACACAGTGGACACCCACACGTTTAGTTTGGGTGGGCTCGTGTGCAAATGTCATGAGTACACTGTTCACACATGCATTCCCAGACATGAAGTGCATGTGTGTATTTTTCAGTTCACAGATATATTGCAGATGTGTACACTTGGCAATTTGCACTCACAAGGGAAGATAACTATATTCCAAAACCTCGAAGAACAATTAAAATTGCATACATTCATACACAAAGAGTGCACAACTATATCCATGCTTGAGTCACACTGAACATAGCATAGATTTTAAGCATAAGTGTACAGCTAAAGCAAGTCTATGAGAAATTCACAGGGGGTGTTAACAATACACATATACTTGGATCATTTGTTTTAAATTTTAATTGAGTTTAGAGCAAGTATTATCTAGTAACATGCTGAAGTGAGTTGATTGAGTTTAAGGCAATATTTACAGACTAATCTTGTACGTTTACTTGCAACTATGCCTCACAGAGTTCAAAAGAACTTACTTCCAGGTAAATCTTGCATCCCTGACCTCTGTGGTGCCCCAGTGCCTTTTGCCAAAATAATTCAAGGCAGTTACCATTTTGGAATGAATACTTTTAATGTATTCTCATTATCTGAAATGCAAAGATCATAGTATTTTCTGGGCTGGGGATGCTTCCTAGTGGACTTCTCTGTGGTTCTCACTGTTCTCCCGTCTCCGCAGCGATGTCCCTGTAGCTGAACGTGCTCTTGTTCCTGGTGCCCAATGGAGCCATCTCACAGGTGGCATGTCGACAGGGGTGATGGGCATCCAGCGGAATTGCAGGCAAAGGCTCGGGTACTGGTGCCAGGCGGGAGTAGTTGGTCAAGAGCGGAAAATCGTGGCAGCATCGGGCTTGAGAACCAGGTGATAGAAACCTCCCCCCCAGTTCCTTGGGCCCACTATATGCAGACCCCTGTCAGCAGTGACACCCCCCAGAACCATATGCCTATAGACGACAGGCCTTCTCACCCTGAAATCTACAGCATTGCTCTGTGGGGGCCAAAACTGCATTCGGCACTGACCAGACACAGAGCGGGGCGGTCCAGTGTGCAGGCCTCAGCTCCCAATTCCAAGCATCCAGGTCAGCCCGGAGAGGGTGATGCTACCGACGAGGGCAGCCTGGTGTTGATTGATGCTGAAGGGGTGCCCCACACGGTGTCGCGCCAGGAGGTGGAGCTGGCTGGGCAGATGCAGTCCTCTGAGCCCGAGCTTCTGGCCTCAGCCCCGCCGCCACGGCAGCTCTACTTCTGCCCCATTTGCCTGCGGACTTTCCTGTACCAGTCGGACCTGGAGCGCCACAGCATCACCCACTCGGAGAGCAAGCCCTATGTATGCCGCGAGTGCGGCAAGGCCTTCAAGCGCTCCTCACACCTTCAGCGGCACAAACACATCCACACCGGTGAACGGCCCTTCAGCTGCCCTGTCTGCCACAAGGGCTTCCGGGAATCCGGTGAGCTCTTGCGCCACCAGCGAGTCCACACAGGGGAGAAGCCCTACCAGTGCCAGATTTGCCGGCTGCGCTTCACGGAACGCAACACCCTCCGCCGGCATGCCAAGCGCAAACATGCCCGTGAGACCTACTACCAGCGCTCCGTCGAGGAGGGAGGTGGCAGTTGGACTACAGCAGGGGACTGGGAATCAGAAGTGGTGTCAGGAAGCGGGGACTGGGGGGCTGGGGAGCTTGGGGGTGGCTGGGCCAACGAAGCAGTGGAAGACTGGGTTGGGGATGGGAGCCACTGGGGGGACGCTGCAGAAGGTGGGGCAGGAAGCACTCCTGTAGCCACGTCATACATACTAGAGACAGAACACATCAAGGACAAAGACAAACCTGGAATCCAACCTCCATAAATATGCAAAAGTTGGGGGACACCCAGGACAAAAGAGGACTGGAAAACAAACTTTGCCTTGCAATTATTCATAGGGACTGAAACCTATATAATTGCACTGAGACGTTTTTCTCAAGGAAGGGCATGAGACTAAGGATGGGACCTGCTCCTAGAAGTGCAAGAATGTTATGGGCCTTGAAATACCAATGCATGGATATCGCCAAAGTCTGGAGAATGCTATTGGTGGAGAGGGAATTATGGCTGTCCTCTCCTTTGAACAACTGTGTCATGATATTCAGAGCTGTTGAGGGATTGTAGGAGCATCATCATGTGTTAAACTATGTAACAGGGTGGACCAAATAACACTGGGAATTTTGTTTTCTAAGTAACTTGTGGTTTCCCAGAGGAATGGTTGCTGGGAGACTTGTGTTCCTCTCGCAATTGTACCAAACCAAAATGTTGCTACATGGTGGTCCTTTGTATGATTGCTTGCCCTATTCCGAGTTGCTTTTTCCTTTCCTTTTAAAATCAGCCTCCATGTAATGGAGCATTTTCAGTTTGCAAACATTTCAATGAATCCACATATGCAAAAGAGCAGTGGTCTCTTTTTTCTTTCTTTCCATTCTTTCTTCCTGGGAATGGTGATCTAAAGTTTGGAGACATGCATATGCACTCCCCAAACAGTTATAATCACTGTGCATAAAGTTTTAAGAAGGAGCATTGAAAAATCTTAGGTGTGGGGTTGTGCATGTTTTTGCTTGATGCATCTTAATAAGTGTTAAGGGAGTGAAGAAAAATCCTAATAAGAAGGCTAACATTCAATTCAGATGTATGTCTGTGAGAAAAGGAAGAAGAGTCTCATTCTGAACAGAAGGAAATGAGGTGAGGTTGGCACTTCCATCCCAAATACACAGACTTACAAGTCAATTCCCTTCAAATCAGTCAGAATGACTTTTAAGCAAATGTGCTAAGGCTGAAGTGCTAGGCTATCACCTAATCCAGAATGCCACATGTGCTCCGAGACAAGACCATGAAAAAGAGTGAGCAGGGCAATTCCACCAATGCTACAGCTGTTCCACAAGCATTAACTGTCACAGATTCTCTCAAGGAAATCTAGAAATGTTTTGGGACAGCACTACAAATTCAGTTAGAAGCCCTTAACCCCTTTGTTTAACTTTATGCCTTGCAGAGGGGGAGAGAGTCATCTCAGTTAATCTGGGTTGTGTTTGTGGTTCAAAGCTACCGCTGGGTGCAAAATTCTCAAAATCTGAAGCAGTGAGGTTTGCCAAGCCAGGCAAGTAATTGACCAATCCTCCCTTTAATATCAGATCAACATAGAAGGCAGCTTCTTTCTTGAACTTTAAAACTAAGCAAATTAAAAGAAGTGGGAAGGAGCCTGCCTGCATAGGCCCTTAGCATTCTCACAGATTAAAAGAGAGCTTTGGAAAAGAACATGGCTGTTGCATGAGGTCACTGCTGATGCAGAAATGTTGTCGTTCTTATTCCTGGCTCAGTCGAGTTATATTGGGAGGGACATGAAGGGAAACTGGAGCCTGTTTTACAGAGACATGGATTCCATTTTACTTATTCTTTTATTTATTAGATTTATAGCCCACCTTTTTTGTTTTTTAAAAGCACTCAAAGTAGCTTACATCATTCTCATGCTCCTGCTTCTCACAACAACCCTGTGAGGTAGGTTGGGCTGAGAGTCTGTGACTGGCCAAACTCACCTAGTTGGTTCTATGGCTGACCCAGATCGTCTGAGTCCCAGTCCCACACACTTAACCACTACACCACAGTGGCTCTCATGTGTATCCAGTGCCTGGCATGAGGTACAGTGGTGGCTAGTTCTGTGGCTTTCCTAACCAAATGTAAGGTATCCCTCTTTATATGAGAGGTACAGTGTGTGAATGTGCATGCAGATGGAGACAGATCAGCATTGTGATTCCTGTTATGGAACTGGGTCTTGCTGAACTGCAAGGCAAACAAGGTAGATTGTTGGATATTCAACTGCTTGTATCAAAAAATGGCTAGGCTTTTGATACAGGAAATGGTTAGATTTCAAAAAGGGCAGTTTCTGCAGATCCAAGGAGACCATACTGCAAGCCACACTATTATAATTAATTTGCATATACTTGGCAGAACATGACTATTTGCATATAATGGGCTCGGTTATTCTCTTCCCTTTCTGCTCTTGTGCTTGATATGAGCTCAAATCTGCCCAGCATACATGCAGTGACCTGCACACAAGGTCATACCTCGCACTCCTTGTTAATCTGAAATGACTAACATTCCCTTGCTTCATTCCTCATAATCACTGTTGAAGACTGAATCTCTGTTTCATCTATTAATGTGTGTTAAATATGCTAGTTCCTGGCCATTTGTTTTCTAACAAAGGATTTCTTTACCTAAACAACAAGCAGTGTGGAAGTAGCTTAACCTAGTGTAGAGGCTCCTTGCTTTTCCAAATCTTTCACATGTAGTGGCTCTCCAAACAAATCCTTCATCGTCAAGTGGTTTTTTTCCATGATGCTGCAGAACATTCCAGCCAATGGTTTGCAGCAGTTTAGAAACACCAGCTTCTAGAAAACAGTGTGGCAGTGTCACCTGTAAAGTGTGGTACAATTCATCAAGCATTTATGACATGGATCAGCCGCCCTGTGGATTTAGTTACAAGTGGTTTATCTGAAGTGGGCCCAAGTTAATGGAAAGCTTTATGAATATCCTCATTGCATTAAGAGAAAGGAGGGTTGTTGCACTTATTTTGTTTCTGATTACAGCAGCTCAACCAAAATATGCAAGTTCCCAGATCTTTCTAAACAATTGTGTGAATAAATATAGATCGTACAGCCTATATAGGGCAAGAAGGTATGGCAGTGTTCTTGAATGCTTTTGTAGGTAGCAAGGTTTCTCCCTGCCATCCCAAATTGCTCTTAGAATCTAGTCACTGTATCGAAAGCCTCAGGTGTCTGACAGGGAGCCCAGAAGGCATCATTGCTATCTGGCTTTTTATGACAGAAAAACTGTATGTATGAATATATCATAGTGAGTTTGTGATAGTGCCTATAATCAACAGATTGACAAATTAAGCATTACAACTATGGCATCTACACACACACACTTTTCCCATCCCTAGTTTGTCATGAGGACTTAAATTATACCTTCTTTTCTTTCAAAAGGAAAGCCAAGATTTTAAGAGTTCTGCTTATTATCAGCTGCTCCAACAAAGCACTTTTATCAAGGTTGCTTCTGTTCTCCTGCATAGACAATACTATGAAGGACAGGGATGAGTGTGAAAATGCCCCCTCTGAAAATTTACCACCACCGGTTTCCTTCCAGTAGTGGAGCACCATAGCTGGCAGATAGCTCGGATAACACCTGGTGGTGAATAAGAAGACAACATTTTTAACACCACCCCACCGCTCACTATGGCCCTTCAAGGCCATTTCCCTGCTGATTCCCCCTCCCCCAGGTGCCACTGGAGATTAAAATAGCATGCACCAGTTCTGTAGCCTGACTAGCATTGTCAAACATGGCGCCCTGCTTCACTGAAGTCATGTTGTCCACACTGGCACACTTCCATGGCACTGTAATATTGCCTTTCTTTCCATCAGAGAAGCCTCCCCCCCCCCGCCCCCCAGCAAACTGCATGCGAGTGGGAGGAATGGAGCCAGGCTTTTGCCTTGAACTACCTCCAGGGCGCTCCTGTATGCCCAGGCCTCCAAGTTATCTTTGTTGCCATGGAGACCACCTTGAGCGCACAGTTGGGTTGTTACAAGCAGAATCTTTGTTAGGAAGGGCCTCAAGGCCTTGGCTGTAGTGAAGGCTGCAGCAGGATTAAATGAAAACATGCTATCGCCTCTCTGTTTTTATTTTAGCCAGTGAATCTCTAAAAAGTAGGCAAACAAATTTTGGAAACTGTATTCTAAGATTGCTTTAGTGCCATTCTGATATGTCTCATGTTTATGCCAGTGCTTTTTTTTCATGGGAAACAACCCTGGATGTGTTAAACAGTTTGGTCCAGTCTTTGTGTCATCTTGAGCAATAGCTGCCGACCTGAGTTCTTTGGGGTTCTGTTGCACTGAAGTTGATACTTCCTCAGAGTGTTTTTTGCATTGTCAGAAGTGACACCACAAAGACCAGAATTGCAAGTTTGCTGCCTGAAAGGGTCAGTGGGGTGGATACTGGAGCTGCAGACTGCAGAGGCTAGTTGGGAAGAGATCCGTTCACAAAGAAAGCACTCCAGATTGCTATGTTCCTTAAGAGGTTGTGGGGTGATAGAAAACTGCCAGTGGTATTTGGGCCATGGAGGATGGAAAGCTGATACTGCCTTCATCAAGTGAGAAACATGCACATCTCCTAAGACAGGGACAGAGTATACCTCCCTAGACCTGATAGGGAGGTAACCTATTCTATCTATGCCCACATATATGTATACACGAACATGCCAAAGCCATATTTATTAATAACCTACAAGTTCTGATCTGCCCTTTTATTATAAATTTATTGTATTTATAATTGCATTTTTATTTATGAAATTCTGTAAGCTGCTTTGAGGATCCAAATTTGAGGGTGAAAGTGGATTAAAAATAATCCACCAATAAAATATAATCCCTTAGATTTATGATTTCTAGATATAGAAAGAATGTGTCAGTAAAATGAGTTTTCTAATTTCTAAAAGAAGTGCTGGGTGTTCTTTCATGGATAGCATCACTATATGGTTGACAAGCAATCAAAATTTCACTGGAGCAGCCAGAACTACATGTGTAGTTTATTATCCAAAATGGAGGATATAAAGTTGGATAGAAGCTATGTCTTTCCTCCATGTTTTAGTTTCCTAGTTTATTTTTCTTTAAAATTTTATTTCAGAAAAGGGACATTTCACAAGTTCGAAAGCATTTGCCCATGCACTGATTTCTCTTCTTCAGGGTGACTCATGCCAATTCTCACATGCTCAAAGGCACCCTATCAGTAGAGCTGGGAGTGGGGTTAACCCTAATGTTTCCTCCTAACTCCAGATAATGACATTATACAACAGACAATGATTACCTACTCTGAAATTATTTTAGTGGAAAATTAGTACTGTGCAACTCATTGTTGAATGCAGGCACCTGAAATGTAAGCCCCAAAGGGTTTTGCCAAGCCTTTGGAATTTCAGTGTAGCTCATGGCTTCTTTGTCATGTTCTACAGAAAAAAGTCACTCCCAATACCTAGATGACAATCCATTTACTAGGGCAAAATTTATTGATTGTATTAGCTCTTCTGCCATTGCTTTTCACTTTGCAGCACAGGGTATCAAGTATGAATGCAAATTTAAAGTAAAATGTGCAGTTATGTGTGAATGAATTTCCTATCCCCATCTATGCTTTTGTTTGAAGGGGAGTTTTCTTCTCCTTGGTCTTGTGCTATTGTTAGCACATCTGCAGTCCATGTTTAGCAATTCAAGGTGGGCATAAGAACTTTGGAAACTGATGATTATTGAGATAACTGTTGGTATTTCAGAATGAAACATGCCCACTTATTAACTAGATGAAGAATTTGGTTCTCCATTTCTATTTGTATGAAAATTGGCTATTGAAAGGCAGGAAATTTTAGAAAAAGATAAATTTGATATTAATGGTATATGTGTACTAGGCTGTATTGTATGACATCCTGCATTGAGGTACATAAGTAGGTTATGGTATATAAGCATATTGAGCAGTTATGTACCATGATGGTCCATTGTGTAATGCTATTACTTATGAAGTTAGTAAGAATATGACAGTAGCATTATTTGGAATGCACATGTCAAGCATACACTGATATTTATTCTAGAACTAGGAGTGCTTTAACACTCCTGGAATTTCCAATTTGCGTGGTGAGTCTAAGGGCTTTCTCCTATTAATATTCCATAGTGCAGCCCCTAATTCCATGATCATGAAGGCACTACATAAGCCTTTTTCGTATTGCCTACCACAGTCCTTGAGCCCTTAACTCTTGCCTAGCAGGCAGATGCTCAGCAAATACATTGTTTCGTACTACTTCGTCTCCGTACCAGAAAACTTTACCTGCTTGAAGTTCTGCCTTTTAAGCAATCTATGGAAAACACAGATGCGCTGTCAGAAAAGGGATGGAAGCTGGTAACCCTGACTGAGCTGTAATGCTTTGTATTCTGCAAGCGTGGCCATGCCTTGCACTGCCGTGCTTTGCACAGCGCTGTTTTTGCATGGCATCGAATTGCAGCATGAAAAAGGCACAAGAGCGAAGACGAACGAGAGGAAACACCGCTTCGCGCGGCAGCTCACGGGTAAGAGACAAGTGAACAGGCGCAAAGGACTCTGGGAATCGAAGCCAGAGGGGGGGGCGTCAAATTCGCAGAGGCTGATGGGTATGAGGGGAGGGCAGGAAACGGTGCTCTTGCTTGGGGAGGGAGGCTTCCGGTTCCGGCCGGGCCTGTGTGAGTTGCAGCCTGGCAGTGCCCCCCTACCCCCACCCCAGAGGGACCAGAAACACTCCCCCCACGTATCCTGGGGTAAGGGAAGGGCCAGGGCCCCCCACACCGATCTTGCTACTCAAGGACCAGCCCCTGCCTGGGGCGCGGAGGAGGCTGGGGCAGCGCCACACACCGGTGAGTGCCACCCTAAAGCCGACCCTATCCTCTAGGTTGCCCCCCCACCGTATTTCTTTTGGCGAGGCTGACCCCTCCAGACAGACGCATTTGTTTAACTTCCGCTCCCTTTCTTGAATTGCCCCACCCTGGTCATTCTCAAAACCGTTTCACCCCCCATCGTCCAACTCCCCTTTCCTGTAGTCCTTCTCCATATCTTCTTGCAAGCAAGATTAACCCGTTCCACTTCTCCCGTCATCTTCATCGCATCCTCTACCATCTGACCCCAGCCACTAACCTGGATTAGGTCATTTTCCTTCTGCCCCGCCCCCTTCTTGTTTAATCTGTATATATTGCTTCAAGCTTATGTTATCACTCCCTATTTTGATTTATGACGTAGCAGAGAGCAGTATAAACGCCAGCCAATTCCAAATCGTTAGCCTGTGTGTTCTCTGCTACCCTATAGCCCAAAAATTACTCCTTCTCTCCCACCATTTCACCCTTGTAGTTGATGCCACATCCTTTTATGAATCCAGCTCAGCCCCATAGTCCAGCCTATCTCACACCTTAAAGCTGAGCCATTCTACTCCATACAACTTTTGTACCTCCATTGCAAATCCTTTTCACCAGTTCTTTCCCATGCTCCCCAGTTGGTTCTCCCCCATATTATTTTATAAATTTCTAGGAACATCCAAACTATTTTCTGCCTCATACTGAGTCAGACCATTGGTCCATTTAGTTTGGTATCATCTGCACTAGCTGGCAACAACTCTTCAGGGCTCTTTCCCAGCCCTACCTGAAGATGTCAGAGTTTGAACCTAGATCTTCCAGTTCTCACTTAAATTCTATTGAAGTCAGTCTCACCTGCCAGAAGTTTTATTTTGCTTATACCTCTAGATAACAGGAATGTATCCCTCCTAGCCAGTCCCTAAGACACTCTCTTGCATTCTAGGGCCTCTGATTTTAGCTTTTGTCTTCCCTCTTTCCTTACTACCAACTGGCTAAGTCATACCCCCTTCTTGCTGCACAACAGGTCCTAGGTACATAGCTTTCTTGAAAACCTTCTCATCATATTTCCACACTGCACCAACATCTGTCTTTTTCTGTCAACTGTGTGCCTCAGCTCTGTCACCATTAATGTCCCTCTCTCGTGGACTGTGAGGTTACCCCACTGACATTTCAACTACAGTATCCCCAATGCTCTTATTTGCCCACCTCCTGACCATTTCATGCCCAGGTTCGTGTATACTTTTGACTGTAGCCACCTTAGTCAACCTTGGTCCATCCTGTTCACTATGATAGGCAGTGACTCTGCTGGCTGTCAGGCAGAGGTCATTCTTAGCTTTGCTGCCTCACTTGCTTCTACAATAGGTGGTGATGTAACTATGCATTAAAATCTCTCCCCCAAATTAAAAAATACTTCGCAAAGAGCTACCTCTTGTGTAGAAGTTAAGCAAAAAGGGAGAGGGAGGGGATAAAAACAGCACCATTACAAATGTTGTTTTATTGTCTGTTTGGCTTTTGGTATTTCATTGGCCATTACCCATATGCCCACTGAAATCTCCGCTCTGATATGTGTAATAATTGTGCAGGATGCAGTTTTCACATAGGGATGCTGCCAGTCAAAGTGCTTTTTCCTCCCTACTCTACAAAAGTTTCAGGTGGCTCTGCCCTTGCAACACAAATGCATTCATTCATTATGCCTGTCTGAATTGACTGTTAGTGAAGAATTAGAGGGCAGTTCCTTACTTGGAAAGTATATATTAGGAAAAAGGGTGAGTAGGTGGGTCTCTTGGTGCTATGATACTTCTTAAAAGTTTATTCTATGGGTGTAGTTTAATGAAAGGGTCCCATCACTGATAAAGGAGGAGATAAATCTCTGACTTTCCAGACATGCAGGGAGATACCAGTGATGAAGCATGTTATTTGTCTGCCAGCTAGGATCAAACTTGCAGATAGAACCAAGGATTCCTGACTTCCAGCACTGTATGTTTGAATTAATGTAATAAAACTCATTCCCCATTTCAGGTGCTGAGGAACTGCTTCACAGCTCTCCCATCCTCAATATGTTCTCCTTGGCTCTTTGTCCTGCTGCTCCATCCCACTTCAGGCATCGTTAGGCATCGTTAGTCTTCTTCCAGTCAAACCCAATAAAGTTCCTCAGCCCTCTTCTACATCACCTTGATTTAACCTTATTGGTACCTCCATTACCATCAGATTCCTTTTTTCTCTGCTGATCCATTGTTCCCTAACCTTGTATCTTACTATAGGAACAAATAAGAGACCCCCTGGGTCCAGAAAATATAGCTGTGAGCCGTAAGCTCCATCTTCCTTGGGCACATGTAATACAGACTTTCAGATATGCACTGTACTATTAGTAATATCTGTATTTTTTAAAATGTAGCTGTAGTGTAAGGCATTGGATCGCTTATATGCTCCATGTCGTTCCCAGCATACGTTGATAGTAATTAAAGGTGTCTGTAATGGAAGGCAGTGCCCAGTTTCAGAGGATTTGGGTACTATAATTTGTTACTGTAATACTACTCCATCCTTTGTATCTGCTTCACAAGCCTTCATCTGATCCCATCATAATCTGCAGTTCTGTTTTCCGGATGATGCCATTTTTCTTTTAAATCTAGGGCAGTTTGTCCATGGTGGTGGTTGGGGTAGAATTGTCTAGGGATAGCACTGTTCTGTACTACAGCTTCTTCTATTTATCTTGCATGGGGTGGTGTTGGGAGGATGGCTGTGATTTGGGAATCTTAATCCATCTATCCCCTGATGCTTAAGAAAATTCAAAGTGAAAGTAGCTGTGACTCAGAGACCTCATTAAGGTGTATGTGCATACATAAGGGGCATCTATGCAGAAGGCTGGTACAGAAATTTTGAAAATGAGCTTAGGAAAGTAAACTGAAGAAACCACCAAAAAGTGCTTTTATTTTTGGACTACTGCCTGTTCCTACGTGGAAAGCATTTCTGTGTAGGAAGAGGCATGAAATTTACATGTAGATTATTGCACATAATCACAGAAACATGTTTGTTGTTGGGCGTGTGCGCATGAGAAAGCCATAGTTAAGTGCAGCATCCCAGTATGTGAACATAAAGTGAAATACAGATATATGTGGTCATTAAACTTCAGGCTGTGGCCTCCTAGTTCATGTACACAACAAACAGCAAAACATACACATGGTTGCCATGCATTATGATTTGCATATAGTTTCATATTAAGAACATCCTAATATGTGATGCAGCACCCCAGAATCCCCCACCTCAGGAAGAAAAAGTGCACAGCTGAGTGGCAGAGCACCTGCTTTATATGCAGAATGTCCCATATTATTTCAGCATCTCCAGGTAGGGCAAAAAGAAAAAAAGCAACAACACGCCAGCCTGAAACATTGGAGAGCCATTGCCAGTCAGCATTGACAGTGGTGATCTAGATGGCCCAAGACTCTGACTGCACATAAGGAAGTGTCCTGTGTTCCTCAGTGCATTGAGAGCAACCTGTGCAGACTTACATGGTTTGGTCCCTACATCCTGTTGTAACCCCAACATTGACAGAGATTAATATAGATGGCAACAATTAACCAAACAGTCGCTCATCACAGTGACTGTAGGTCTATCTGTAGTTTCTACCTACATGGTGAGAAGAATCTTATGATGCTGGATCAGAACTTCAGAATAGGCAGTGAAATGATCTGTACAGGGATGGATGCTACAAGCAACCAAGTCACCATACCAACATCCCCCGGCATGAAGATACTGCTGGGTAAAACAGTAGTCTGCATTCCTCAATACCCTGCTCTTTCTTGACAGTCTGTGCATCAGTCTCCCTTCCCATGGATTGGTCCCACAGAAGCTGGTGCTGAAACCCATTCATAGTTTTTCTGTTTGGGTGGGCATGTGATGGAAATATAAATATTTATTATTATTGCATTGCATTTCTATCCCGCCCTTTTCCCTCTTGCAAGGAACCCAAGGCAGCTTAAGTAGTTCTCCTCCATTCCATTTTTATCCTCAAAACAACAAACTTGTGAAGTAAGTTAGGCTGAGAGTGAATGACTGGCTCAAAGTCACCCAGTGAGATCCATGACTGAGTGGGTATTAGGTCCTGGATTTCCCCAGTCACCAGTCTAAACACCTCACCAGCTCTCATATAAATGCACACATTTTATATAGCTATTCAAACAGACTTTTTGATTATATTATTCAGTAAATGTTATGTGTCACAAGTCTGGAACTTGGCAGGAATGTAATGAGGCACTGCAGCCAATTACCATGTTCTTCTCTCCTGAATTTGCCGGAACCTCAAGGTGACAAGCTAGGATGCTTTTGCAAAACTTCAGTATTACCCGAGCCTCATCTTAGTCTGCTATGTCTTAATCACGTCCTGATTTATTTCTAAAAGGACCAGTCAGACCTAGCACATGAGTCTTCTGAGAATCTTCTCTCATCACTTGCTGTTGGTACTAATTTAGTTGTCAGGATTAAGTGTTTTAAAGGCAAAACTGTTGCTCCACAGTTCCGTGATCAAATTCTCAGCAAAGTGGACCAATTATAGTTCTCAGCACACCCATGACCTTCTTCTAATAGATGCAATATGCTAACTTGCCCTCTCGCTGTTGTACTTCTGTATATTCCGAACTGCCTTTACCAGTGTAGAAAGTTTGAATGGCAGACTGGGGACTACTTTTAATGTCTCAAAAGTTCATAACCTTGGGAAATGGTTCAAAAGACACGCCCCCATTGCCTTGCTGGAACTAACCAAACTCCTGTTTTGTCCAGTATTCTTCCTGTAACCACAGCCAGATGCTTGCAAGCACAGCATGATGGGAGATAGCCACACTCATGTATTTCACTCCAGTTAGCAATATCCTGCTTCTGAAGACAGAGGTTCTGTTTTTAGCTACCATGCTGAATAACTCAAAAGAGTTTGTCTCATTGCTTGCTACTAAGGACAGCTTCCCATGATTGAACAATTGGAGGAGGTGTGCAATCAGCTGACTTTCTCCTCCTGTGCTTACTGTAATTTGCACAGTAATGGGTCCGATCTGGGATGGCACTTGTCATGAAACATGGTAAGAAAGAGGGTAAAATATCTAAGTAGCTAAGAAGAGGATCTTGACAGAGTTCCAGTGAATGAAGGAGCTTCAGGATTCTGCTTATGTCTTTGTTCCTCCTCTTGATTAACCAACACAGAATTCCATCATGCCAAATAAAAAGATGCAATAGAATTAGCATATATAACTGATATAGGCTGCAGAATTCAGTATTTCTGGTTGCAGAATATTGGAGAGTGTCTTGAATGCAAAATAATTTAGATTTTATCTATTCCTAAAATTCTGGGTAAGATTAGGGCATGTAGGAAATTAAAGGACCCTTAGGGTGAGAAACCTAGATCTTCAGGGTGGGATCTTTCATACACCAACCCTTCATTTTCTTTCTGTTAGTTCAGAATATGGGGTATATCATTTTTTAAGCATTTGGTCTCATTCACTTGTTTTGAATGCAGGGTGGGGTCTATATCTGATCCTGGGCTTGCAAATTCGGGACATCTTGTAAAGAGTAATAGCAACAATTGGTATCTTTGTCTTGGCTTGGCCTGGCTTTTAATAGCAAAACTCTTGACTTGCCCCATTATGTGTATGGGAGCCTAGTAGATACTGGCAGTTTCTTTAAAGCAACAGCAGCATGAGTGTAGAGTGCTGACGTGTTTGAGATGTGTGGTGTGTGTCTATATTGCTATCCTGTTTCTCCCCTCTCCCCAGGCAGTGCCCCCTCCCGGGCGGAGATGGAAGCCAATGCAGCAAGCGACGAGGGTGTGCATTTCCAGAGCTACCCCTTCGACTTCCTGGAGTTCCTGAACCACCAACGCTTTGAACCTATGGAGGCCTACAACCACGAGCACGCCAAAGCAGTTGCCGCCCTTCCCTGCCCACAGCCACAGTATGACTATACCCAGCCACCCACGGCTGCCCCACCTGCCCACTTTGACCGCGTCCCCACTGCTGTAGGTACCTCAAAGCCCAAAGTCGAAGGCCCGTCCTCCTCCTCTTCCTCGGCCGCCTCAGCTGCCAGCGTCCAAGTCAAGAAAGCTGAGCCAGGGGGCCCCGCCCCACCACAGCAGCCGCAGCAGCCGCCACCGCAGCAGCAGCCCTACAGCACCCCCGCAGTGGTGCCAGCTGCAGGCCAGCCTCTCTTTGACAGCACAGCAGCTGCCGCAGCTGCCGCAGCTGCCTACAACACTCCCCAGTGGGGCATCGTGGACCTTTCCGGCCACCAGCACCTCTTCAGCAGCCTCAAGCGCGGGCAGGCGCCTCCCCCTGCAGCTGCCACTGTCACCACTGACAGCCAAGCAGGCAAGGACGACAAGAACTACTTCCGGCGATTGAAGTACTTCATCGATCGGCGCTTCCCGTGTGGAGTGTGCCAGAAGTCATTCAAGCAGTCCTCCCACCTGGTGCAACACATGTTGGTGCACACAGGGGAGCGGCCGTATGAGTGCACCACCTGCGGACGCACCTACAATCACATCTCCAGCCTCATCAGGCACCGCCGCTGCCACAAGGACACGGAGGATGCCACGGCGGCTGCCAATGCTGCCGCTGCCAATGTTGTGGCTGCGGCAGCGGCGGCGGCGGCTAATACCAACACCAACACGGCAACCAGTGCCACTGGTGCTGAGGGGGCATCCCACCCTCCTACCCAGAGTGGCAACCCCCAAGCAGTGCCGGCCCCGGCCGTGGGGACAGCTGCCTCTGCCCTCAGTGCTGCCATAGCTCAGGCCGAAGGCCCCTTCACCTGCTCCCTCTGCTGGAAAGTGTTCAAGAAGCCAAGCCACCTGCACCAACATCAGATCATCCACACCGGTGAAAAGCCGTTCTCATGCTCTGTCTGTCAGAAGAGTTTCAACCGCCGTGAGAGCTTGAAACGACATGTGAGGACCCATTCGGACCTGCTGCGGGTGCAGTGTGGGGTCTGTGGCAAGGAGTTTCGGGACGCCTCCTACCTGCTCAAGCACCAGGCCACCCATGCCCCTCCTGGCACCTTGCCCCCGCGCCCTGAGTACAAATGCGACATCTGTGGCAAGGGCTATGTGGCCCCCCAGAACCTGCTGCGCCATCGGCAGCTGCAACATGAGGGAGCCCAGCTGCCCAAGGATGGCACCAGTGCCCTGTCCTACCTGCCCCCTGGGGCTTATCTCCTTCCACAGGACCCACAGGCTACCAGCTCCGAGGGAGACACAAAGCCCACATCGTACGGACTCTTGGGTGCCCACCCGCTGCTGGTGGGAACAGCAGCAGGCAAGAATTTCTGCTGTGGGATCTGCGGTCGTGGCTTTGGGCGGCGGGAGACACTGAAGAGACACGAGCGGATCCACACAGGTGAGAAGCCTCACCAATGTGCAGTGTGTGGGAAGCGCTTCCGTGAATCTTTCCACCTCAGTAAGCACCATGTGGTTCACACCCGGGAGAGGCCCTACAAATGTGAGATCTGCGGGAAGGTTTTTGGCTACCCACAGAGCTTGACACGGCACAAACAGATCCACCGGCTGCAGCTGCCTTGCTCTCTGCCGCCCATGGGGCCCTCACTCACACCCATGGGGCCTTCACTGCCCCCGCCTCCCGAGGGGCTAACCTACGGTTGTTCCGACTGTGGAGAGCGCTTTCCTGACCTTTTCCACGTCATGAGCCACAAGGAGGTCCATGTGGCTGAGAAGCCGTACCCTTGCGACGTCTGTGGGAAGTGCTTTGGTTTCATCGAGAACCTCATGTGGCATAAGCTAGTCCACCAGGCTGCGCCCGAGCGGCTCCTACCACCAGATGAAACAGCAGCTGCAGTAGCACCCCTGGAGAACGGGTTGGCCAGTGGCGACAACTTGACATCCTATGAAGACCACCACCCCACCTTGCCAAGTGGGGAACGCTTCTCCTGCTCCATCTGTGGCCAGACCTTCAAACATTTCCTGGGACTTGTGACCCACAAGTATGTGCACCTGGTGCGCCGCACGTTGGCCTGCACAGTCTGTGGGCAGAGTTTTGCAGGGGCCTATGACCTGCTGCTGCATCGCCGCACCCACCTCCAGAAGCGCCACTTCTCCTGCCCCGTCTGTGGCAAGCGCTTCTGGGAGGCTGCCCTTCTGATGCGCCACCAGCGCTGCCACACAGAGGAGCGCCCGTACCGCTGCGCAGTCTGTGGGCGTGGGTTCCTGCGCTCGTGGTACCTCCGCCAACACAAAGTGGTGCACACTGGCGAGCGTGCCTACAAGTGTGCCCTTTGCAACAAGCGTTTTGCCCAGTCGTCCAGCCTGGCTGAACATCAGCGCCTTCACGTTGTCGCCCGGCCTCAGCGTTGTCCCACATGCGGCAAGACCTTCCGCTATCGAAGCAACCTCCTGGAGCACCAGCGGGTGCACCTGGGTGAGAAAGTCTACCGCTGTGACAGATGCTCCAAGAGCTTCTTCTACCTGTCGTCCATCCTGCGCCACCAACGCTCCCATGATGCTAAACGTGAGTTGCGATGTGGAGCCTGTCTCAAGCTCTTCAAAGATCCCAAGTATTTCAGCAAGCACCTCCAGGCCCACCAAGGTGGGCGGCCCTTCAAGTGCAGCACCTGCGGGGAAGCCTTCTCCAACACCTACGGCCTCAAGAAACACCGCCACATCCACAAGATGGAGCGTTTTGCTGCCATGGGGGGCCACAAGGAACAACCTTAGTGTTGGCATGCCAACAGAATAGATGGGTGGTCTTTATGCTAATACTCTAGGGTGGAAGATAAGGCCAGTTCTAGGCGAATGTGAGCCAGAAGGGGAGGGATTTCATTTCCATAAAAAGTAGGTTAAATGTGCTTGTTGGCAGCGAGAGGCTACACTTGGGGATGGATTTTGGAAAAAAGTCATCAGCTGAGAAGCGCATGGGTGGGGCAATCCATGTAGAACTAGCAATGCAATGCAGAAGGTGCTTAAGTAGAGAGAGGCAGCTGCCAGCTAACCTGCTGGATCTCTGTTCCTCAAAACCAATAGATATTGTCCTGTTCACCCTGGATTCCCTAACCTAAATGGGGTGGAAGAGATGTCCGTCAGAGAGGTGACTCTTTCCTACTCAGCATGAATGCAGCTTTGGGGGTTGGTCATTTCTTGCTTCTCCCAAAGAGTGGGAAGAAAGGAATGGAATGGTGCTGGTGGAATAACCATGTTTCTGATTGAAGCCTACATCTTGGAGCAGATGTCCACCTGGGTCCCCATCTTCAGGAAGAGATGGTGCTTCCTGTACTCCCCTTTAATTAGAATGGAACATTAGAGCCAATCCATATGTTTTGGGACAGGATAGGCCAGGACATGCCACAGTCTTCAAGGAGCATGCGCCAAACTTTTCCACAAACCCAGCCACCGGATCTATGCCATACTTGCTTTTGGGGGGAAAGTCGTGGATTTGTATACTTTCTTCACATTTATAAAGACAATAGGCTAGCTATCATTTTCTTAGGAGCTTGGGAACTAGTGGGACATGGCTGCTGACTGAAGACACTTTTAATCATGAGCGGACTAGAACATTAGAGGAGCCTGCTTGAACTGTGATCTTGTGTGTGGTGCAAAATGGCCGAGATGCCACTGAACCATAAAATCTCTCCCTGACTTCCATGCAGTACCAGTTCATGATGCAGCTGGAAGATCACAATGCTCCCTCCCACGAGAAAGAAACAACTCCCTATCACAGGAAATTAGCAAATCTGGAAGGAGGGTTCTAGCCTAGCTGTCTCCCTGATACACTAACTGTCCACATAGATGGAGCATTGAATATGAAAGAGAATTCAGACATGTCGTTCCTCCATATGCATCCCGAGGTGCCACAGACTTGGGAGAATTGTACCATGTGCTCTTTTCAGTATTTGACTTGGCCCTCAGAGGGTAGGCGGGAGATACAGACGCACCCTTCCTGTCCTCCACTGTTGTATCAGCCTCTCTCCTCTGGGTTAGCCCATGGTGCTGCTTCCTCTGTGCCCCAGCGTGTGAGGCTGCTTGCACAGGCCTCCTCTAGATGATGTCCCGTCCGTGCATCATTCATTCCCTTAGACTGGGGACAAAAGCTGAGCTTGGGTGGTTACCTACATATGGTCCAGTTTCACTTGCTTGTAGTCTCTCCCCCTCCCCAACCTCAAGGTTGGATATGACTCAGAGGAAAAGGCAAGAAAACCTAGCCGGTGATTCTGCATCCCAGGACTGTATGTTTCTTTGGTTGCCCAGCAAATCCAGCAGTTCACCCACATTCCTCATGGTGCTCATCCCCTTCTTGGCAATATATTTGTGGTCCCACGTCAAGTTAGATATTGGCTAACTAGTCTGGAGCTGGAATACCCTATGCTAGCATTATCATCCCCGGTCTTTTCAGTGGCCTTCCCTACCCACTGAAGCAGGAACATTAACCCAGGTATGGTCAAAGAAGATCCTTACTAACTCTCCATTTCCCTATGTGCCTCTTCCCCCTTCCGCAAGTGGTGTAAGATTCTGTGCACATCTGAAAAGGCAGGAGGGGAAGCTGATTTGCTATGTGCAACCAAAGAGTTCTAAAAGCATGCCCTCTTGTGGACAGTGGGTGTTGTACAGGTGATTTCCCCTCCAAGCACACACTGGTTTTGTGATCTAAGCTGACCTACATATAACAACAGGCAGTTGTGATGGGGAGCTGTTACTGCTTTTTTGCATTGTGGCAAGCTCAGATTATGCCAGTTTTTTCAGGTGGCAATACCAAAGGTGCCTCCTTGCCATTTCTGATCTACCATCCTGAAGTCCACATCCCTGGTTTCCTTCCTTGGTGAGTGGCAATCCCAAGGATATAAGGACCCAAAGATGCATTATTATTCCCATGTGATTGTCCAGTGCCTGGAACCAGAAGGGAAAGAGGGACATGCCAAAGTTGCAGGGTTAGTTGTGGGTTAGAGTACTATGATAGAAGTGGAGGCCACTGGGTGGGGATGTTCCTTAAAGGAAGCCCTGCAGCATTTGGTGATTCAAATGAAGTATTCAAACAGGCTAGAAACATGATGAAGAGTGTGAAGAAGTTAAAGGAGATGGGGAGAGGGCTACAAATGTTATTTCCAGCCTTCATCACAGTTCCTTTGCTGGGTCAGCTCAAGGACAACTCTTGGTCTCTGTTGGGTTAGGCCTAGTGAGACTAACGTCTGACTGACTGAAATACTACTGACTAATGTTCTGCCTCCAGAAGTGGCTTATACTGGATGCTTCTTTTCTTGTTTTATCTTTACACTAAAGTTTAAAGGCCTGAACTCGTAGCTGAAATTCAGTGGATCCTTCCTATGGTTGTGGCTATACTTCTGCCTGCCTTACATGGAAACTGGGTTTTTTCCATATAGATTTTTCCCTTCCTGACCTCATAATTTGCAAGTAGAGCTGATTTGAATATTAGATTCTCTTTTCTCTCCCCATCCTTCCCCCAAATTTATGAATACAGCACTCCCTGTTTATACTATCCTTGCTTCGTAGGGTCAGCTGCTTCTACATTTAGATGAGCATTGCTTCCATTGAAGGAAACGGCAGCCCCAGAACTGGTGAACTGTTCTCACACTAACTGTTATTATTCATCTATAACATCTACCTTTTTAACCTGAGACAAAAACGAGTTCACAACAACTAACCCAACAGATAACGTACCTATTGAATTGCTTAATTGTGGCTTTCTAAGCCAGAATGATGGAACGCAGAGGAGAGAAATAAGCTTTAGGTTCCTAGATGGTCAGAGAGAAAATACTATGTTCTAAAACCACTAACAGTGCAGTCCTGTACATGTCTACTTAGATGTAAGCCTCACTGAGTTCAACGGGACTTATTCCCCAGTTAGTGACTATAGGATTGCAGCCCAGATGTCTGTCTCTTAGGGTCAAACATAAGGAATTTCCAAAGATCTTTTTAAAAAAGAACAACTGGTAAGCCTAGAACACTGAAAACAAATTTCAGGATTCAGTACAACTATGACACGCCTGTGCCAGCTGCAGATTTGATGTTGGCATGATCAGCCAGACCAATTACCAATTCAGAATGAGGGACCTGTTTCCTATAGATGGGAAAATGTAGTCTGACTCTCAATCTAAGTTTTTTCTCAAACTTTTCTGACCTCACTTAGGAGGAAATAGTTAATCCTAACAATACTTTAATCACCTTTTTGTACTCACAATCAGGATACTTGGAAAGTAGCAAAAGAGGGGAACCCCTGCTTCCCGCTTCCGTTCATTCTTACAGGTGAAAAAAGTTGGGTGAAAAATAGCCTTTTGTAGCCAAATATTCAATGGCAGACAAGGCACAGGGAGTTTGCTAGCAAAGGCTCACCTGACCACAGATGAAGTTTGTACCTGTTCTTTGTTCTGAGAGCTGTTTGGTTTGTCCAAGTATACTTTTCTGTCCTTTGTTGTGGTTGGGTTTTGCTGGCTGGTGCAATGTGAAATTACTGCGCACCGCCTAAAACACATCACTCTTGTGTGAAATGTACTGGTAAAAGAACCCAACTAGGATTCCCCTGCTTATCTGGAAGGTTTAGGGGATGCTGTGGATTGGAGAGGAAGGGGCCCAGGAGACAGCCCTACTTGGCCTGAGTTCTGTGGAAAGGGTGCCTGAGGACTACTGAGTTAAAGAGATGGATGGTCTGAGTTTTAATTCTGGTTGGGAAATTGAGTTCTTTGGAAGACTCAGTTGGTTTGGAGCACACGATGAGACGTTGCCAACCATCCTTCCCAGTGTAACACTCAGCCTCTTGCAATCTTGGATGGATTCTCAGCCCTGAAGTGCACGACGCTAGGATGCTGGTGTCCTACAGATCACCGTCACCCCCAGCCTTGTCTGCTGTGTGCTGGAGGGGTGAAGCAGGGGGCAGGGAAGATGCGCTTATCTTTTCCTAGCATCAGAAATGACTTTTTAAGATGCCGCAGGATGAAATACAACCATCTTAGAACTTCTTGAGCCCTCCTGTTCTTTGGGGAACATGGATTCTGTGGTTCTGATGGCGGCTGATGTTTTCTCCCACTCTCCCACTCATCCCAACCTGGGAGATGGATATTTTTGAGACGGGACTCTCACATCCCCAGACCAATGACCATTGCAAACTCTGAAGAGTTATGCTACTGATAGGATCCAACCCATCACAATCATGTTAGCAGATGACTTTTTATATTAATACAGATATATAAATACATACATTTATATATAAATACTTCTTTTCTAACTACCCTTTTCTCCCATTGGCTACAGAGTACAGGAAGTGCAGTTCTTTTGGTGCCAAGATTCAAGTCCCTATGATAACGTGTACTAAAATATGTATAGGACCCTGTCATTGTCCATGCAGTTGATGGGCCTGGACCGATAACCCATCCCCTCCTCCCTCATTGTACCCCTTGGGAATTGTACAGCGTGTGTTTTTCTCAGTCAGGGGTGGGGGGACGGGAGCGTGTTTGTGTTTTAAACCAAGCAATTGTTTTGAAGGTGTCTGATTTATGATGTACAGACTAAACAAACATTAAAAAATGGAAAATGTATGTACTATGCATTGGAGAGGGGGCAGATTGGCTTATTTGATCAAGTGTCAATACGAAGAGAGCTTTGCTCTAAGAGTCCAGATGGCTAGACCCCTCAGATGGCTATGGTGTGCAGAGGTGTTGGGACCGTGTCAGCTTTCTGTTAGAGCTGGAAGCAGGGTCCATGAACAGCAGGGGTTGTGATTTTGAAAGCCATAACAGAATTGACCACAGTGGGCAGCATAGGGTTGCTGGAACTCAGGCTTCCAAGACAAGCTGAGCTATGGAAAAGGATCAAGGTGAGACTGGCCACTATTTTCTACTTCCTACTGAGGAGGGGATTTCACTGTCCTTCCAGAATTCCATGTATTTGTCCCTCAGTCAAACAATATAGGGAGGAGCTTTCTGTACACAGAGAGGATAAATGAGGATCCTTGAACACAGAAGGCCTCTTCTGCCCAGCTCAAGGTTCTGATGAGCATAGCTAGCTGATTGTCGGTATGAAGAGTAGACAAGCTGGGAGAGACATAGTGGAATCTCACCATTTAAAAAGTAAATGCAAATGTTCCTCTGAACCTTAACAGGCCATTCTGAAGCAATTACGAATACAGGCCACCCACCTCTCTTCTCTTTTGATCTTGTGCCAGGAGTAGGGAGATGAGGTGGCCTTATGCTGCTGGCAGGAGCAAATTTTTCAGGTACTCAAAAAAGGTAAAGCTTCAGAATTCTAATTTCACACAAATTCAGATACTGCTTTTGAAAGACAAAGGCAATGATGAAAGAAGAACCAATTTGCCAAATGGTAAACTATTTTGACTACTACTTGTGGGGAGCAGAGGGGGGACATACAATTCTGTTTATAATTTCACTATAAATGTTTTGCAAGCAAATTCAAGTTAAAAAGATTTGCTTGAGAAATATTTCCCTCTGCAAAGTCCTAGAAGTCTTATTCAGAGTGTTCGTCCATCCCAGCCTGTACTGTCTACTGTAACCTGCAGCAGTGATCAAGGCAGGGGAAGGACTTTCCTATCTTCTGTTGCTTCAGGTGGGGAAGCTTTATCAGCCTGGAAGACTAGATTCCACTCACCTGCCCAGTCAGGCTGGACAAGGTTGAAAGGGGAGGACAGCACCTCTCTGACCTGCCCGCTCTGAAAGGGGAGGACTGTACCTGTGCATGTCCCACCAGTTACTTGCTTTTTTCTATGCAGAGAGATGCATGAGGCTTCATAGAATAGATTTGGAAGAGACCTATATGGGCATTGAGTCCAATCCGCTGCTCAGTGCAGGACTCCAAGATAAAGCATCCCTGACAGATGACTGTCCAGCTGCCTCTTGAATGCCTCCAGTGTGGGAGAACCAGCAACCTCCCTAGGTTATTGGTCCCATTGCCATACTGCTGTAACGGGGAGTTTTTCGTGATGGACAGCTGGAATCTGGCTTCTTCTAGCTTGAGATAATTCTGTGTCCTGCACTCTGGGCTGATTGAGAAGAGATTCTCTGCCCAGAATCTTCTCAAGGCTAAACATGCCCAGTTCTTTCTCTCCTCACAGGGCTTTGTTTCCTATCCCCTGAACATTTTTGCTCTCCTCTGAACCTCCAGTTTGTCTACATATTTCTTGAAGTGTGGTATCCAGAACTGGACACAATACTCAAGATGGGGCCTAACTGTTGACAAAAAGAGGGCAACCAGTACCTCACATGATTTGAAAGCTATACTTCTATTAATGCAGTTCAATATAGCATTTGCCCTTTTTCCTTTTTTTCTCCCCCGCCCCCATCGCTTGCTGACTTGCATTCAGCTTGTGATCTACAACGATTCCAAGATCCTTATCACTTGTATTGTTGAGCCAAGTATCTACCATCCTGTAACTGCATTTGATCCCTACCTGCAGAATTTGGTTTTTTTGTCCCTTTTGCATTAGATTCTGTTGCTTTCAGCCCAGCACTTTAGTCTATCAAGATCATTTGATAGGCTCTTCCTCTCTGTAGGAGGAAAGGGCTTGTGTGGCGCTTGGAGCTGTTCCCCCAGGTGTCAGCCAAGACACTGGCTTTATGTGCCACTAGTTCTGACTGGGGTAGTAAGCAACATGCTGAGCAGAATCCCTGCTGTTATCCTTGCTTCCTTAGCTGATCCAAGATGGCAACAGGGATTCCTTTCCGCGGAAGCCTCCAGCAGATCAGGCTTGGAGAAAAGGCAGGATTAGGGAGGTATCTTCCATGGACCAAAGTTCTCTACCCCTCTGTTACCTACTATTAATATTTAGAGATACATGAGAATGAATCTGTCACCTTCTGCGTACAGCGCATACACTCCACCATTAAAACTAACGTGTGGTTCTGTTCGTTTGGGCTCATCTGCAGGGCACGCAGGTTGACAAAATACTGCATTTGGATCTAACTTAATTTGCTCAAAGTCCTCCTCACAGTCAGGAGGGGCTTGGAGGTCATGATTAATGTGATAACTCATCTGGAACTGGAGATGCAGAGCAGCATTATGATCATATGTTGAATTGGGAGGCTGGTACAGTATATCCAGCTTGACCTGTAAAGTTAGTATGTATCGTGTGGGGAAAATGGCCTTGACAATCCACTGTTGGAGGAGATCTACAGAAATCTAAATGCAGCCTTCTGCAAGCTGGCACCCACTGGCTTGCTGCTTTGATGATGGGAGCTGTGGTCCAGTACATCTGGAAGACAGCCTGCCAATCCTGTCTTAAAAGTACACATTACAAAATGTACAGTGACAAATGTAAAACTGAGAATGTAGCAATCTCAGTCATTTCCTGTACAATTAATTAAAAATCACAAGACAAATTCAAACTGATGTCTAAGGTAGGGGCTTTTTTTAATTTTAGCATTTTTTAAAATTTTAGGTGGCTCATGCAATGTTCTTTTTAATTTACATTTCCCCCTGAGAATTATGAACATTCATCCATATTGGCATGAAGTATTTATTTAACAATTGCTTTGGGTTTGCAAAGCAGAAAGTCATGAATCATCATCTGCTTGTGAACAATGACTTTAGAAAATAATTTATTTCTGACTTTGGGTATTTGCTGACAATATTTACAGGGTTGTTTGTGACTTCTTCCCTAAAGTTCTTTCTCTCTAGTTTGCTTCTCTGCTGGTATAACATGAACAAATCTCTATTTTCATTATTTACTTACAGTTTTTGCCAGATACACGTTTTCAAAATCATTTAAAATTTGCCCTGTTGAAGGTCGGGGGGACACTTAAAACGTGGCTGCTACAAGCAGGGCCGTGCATATTCTGCTAGAGAAAACCCAATTCTGTGCCAGTGTATTCCAATTATGGTGTCTGCGTGCCTAGTCAGAAGGAAGTTGAATTCAGTGGAGTTTATGCCCAAATAAGTGGTTTTAGAGCTTCAGCCAAAACTACCCAAATTTTAGCAATTGTTGAAAATTGCACAGATCAAGAGATCTGGAGATGCTTGCTTTGTATATTTTCTCCTTTTTAGTAGGAAGGCGCATGCATACATCCATACATGGCATTGACTAGTAGAATTGTTGTTCGGTTTTCCCTCCAACCCTTGATCTATTTTAACAATTCCACCAGACATTAGTGACAGATTTTCAGGGAGCTCTTTTCATTAGCTCAGTTGAGATACAACACCAAACCAAAGGAGAAGCTATTTGGTTTACAGGTTAGTCCAGGCAAATGAAGCAGACTTTGTCCAGACATAACAAGAAGCTGTGGTTACATGAATGTACCTCAGATTTGCACACTTGTTCACCCCACTTGGGTTTTGCAGTTTCCTCCTGTACTTCCTGCTTCAAGGCGAACTGGTTTCCTCCACAGCTGGGCAGAAATAAATCTCCAGATCTTTTGAACGTCAACTCCCAGCATTTCAGACTATTGTCAAGAGCTTCTGGGATCTGAGAACCAAAACATCTGGAGATCTTCTTCCTGCCCACTCTTAGTTTATACTACTTATCCCACATACTTGAAATTAGAAACAGTAGTTTGACTATTATTGCCAGTTCTGGTTTGCAGGCAGTCTCTTCTAAGCCGATCAGGAAGTGCTGGGGAAGCCTGAGGTTTCTGCATGAAGCATCAAACCACAGTTTGACATTACATCTGAATCTCATCATTGGAGCTAGATGTTTGATTTTTTCTAAAATGGTAAAAGCAGAGATTCTTGGGACACTGAATGGAGCACCTGCCATTCTACCCACCTACTCTGGTGGGACCCAGAGCTCTGACTGTAGTTACAGTGTTTTATCCCCCAATGGAAGCCTCCCTCCTAAAATGTCATTGTGGCTTGACGCTCCATAATTCTTTCTTCACTGTTTTGCCACCATGTCTCATGCCCTCCTGCCCATGAAGGCGGCGGTGCTTGGCAAAGTTGGAAGAGTTATTGAAACGTCGGCAGCAGACCGCACACTCGAAGGGCTTCTCCCCAGTGTGCAGTCTCCGGTGAGTGGCTAGGGCTGAACTCTGTGTGAATCGCTTGCCACAGACCCCGCAGCCAAAGGGCCTTTCGCCTGTGTGCACCCGCAGGTGCTCCTTCAGGTCTGTGGCACGGCGGAATTGCTTGGGGCATGCAAAGCACAGGAAGGGCTTAGAATCAAATGCCGATGGGGAGTGCTGCTGGTAGGGCTCAGGATCTTGGAAATGAAAGCAGGGGGTAGGGATGCCCTCTTCCCAATGCCGAGTTGTGTTTCCTAACTGGTCCTGGAAGGAATGGCGACTGGGGGATGTGGAGGTACTGAAAGGCAGAGAACATGAGTCAGGGCTCTCAAGTTCCCAGGGAGAAACACTGTCTAAGGAAGAGCATCCTTCAAATTCATCCTTCGTGATCCTTACACTGGGCTCTTCCCAGGCCAAAACGCTGCCCTTTTTAGAACCAGTCCAGGAAGATGCTTTTCTTGCATGAGCATTCATCTTCTCTGGGGTGCCCATTTGCAAGTCCACCTGTTTCTCCTCCTTGGGGCCACCATCTTGTCTCAGCTCCCTGAAGTGGCCAGTGCCATTTGGTTTCAGCTCCAAGGCACTGGTGTCCCTGCTTTGACTCCGCCCACCAACATGGCTTCCCCCTCTACCATTCTGACCCATACCTGTACCAATACTCTCTCCAGTGCTATGCTTCAGTCCTCTGAGGTATCCTCCATTTGGCCTTGTTAGCAAATAGCCCCTGACTTGATTCAGCTTGTGAAGATAGGCTCTGTTGCCACTGACTAGCAAAAGCCCTTTTCCACAGTTGCTGCCGTCCATCTGCAACCTTTCACTGTGGCTGTCAGAGCATTGCTTCTGTTCTCCCTGAGCATGGCTTCCCCCTGCTCTATTTTGCCTCAGGCTATGAGTGTGATTTTCACCATGAGCTTCAGATTTCTGCTGTTCAAAGGTCTGACCATTCTGAGTCACCCCTTGGTCATGACTACAGTCACCATTTTCCCCCAGGCCACCAGTATGACCTTTACTATTACCTGCTTGCCCGAGACCTTTAATAATGCCAATACCTCCTTGGCTACCTTGCCTCATTTCAAGGTTAGTGCCACAATTTGCATCATCTTGCTTTAGCCCCATCTGTTTAATATGGTCCACACGATTGCCAATTTGCCTTTGGCCACCACTGCACTTGTTATCTTGGGGTAGCCTATTATTCTGATGATTACTTTGCTTCCCTTTGGAGTCCTGGTCCCTCTTGTTCGCACCTTCCCTCAGTCCTTTAATAATTGGGAAGCCATTTTTCCTTGACAGGAGCCCATGGCTTGGGGTGCAGCCATCTTGTCCTTCTGCTGGTTGTCTCTGTTTCACCCCAGGAAGGAGGATACAGTCTTTCCCATCATCCCCCCTGTTGCTATATCCAAGGGGTTGCCCATGGATGCGCTGGTGCTTGCGGAAGTTAGAGCCATTGTTGAAAGATTTAAAGCAGACGCTGCAGGAGAAGGGCCGCTCGCCAGTATGAATGCGCATGTGGCCAGAGAGCACAGAGCTCTGTGTGAATCGCTTGCCACAGATGCCACATCCGTATGGCCTTTCTCCTGTATGGACCCGCTCATGGTCACGCCGGTCTGAGGCCCTCTTGAAGCTCTTGGGGCAGAAGGAGCAGCTGTAGGGCCTTTCTGTCGGGAGGGCCAGGGCCTCTTGGTTGCCAGACAACCAAGTGTGGGAGTCTGACACGAGGCTTTTGCATCCCTGGCATGGTGGGACCGGCCCCTGCGGCCCAGCAAGGTCCTTCTGGCACAGGGGGCAGACGGTGGGTGTGGCCGGCCCTGTCTCTTCCTTCACGGTAACCACTTGGATTTCCATTGACAAGTCCACACCAGCCAAGTGTGGACAGCTTCACAGCTTCTGCCCCTGGAAAAAACAGAAAACATGAAAACAGTGCAGGGGCAAACAAGTGCAATATAATCCAGTGACCCAGGTTCAAGTGACAGGGCCCAGCCTCCTTGCTTACTGGTTTTAGAAGGCTAATTGTAATGGGAGGATTTACAACATGATCTGGCTAAAGCCCAAAGGAATCAGCTTATGAATTTAATTCCCTCCCATAATTTAAGCACATGTGCTGGTTTTATTCATTTAAGACAGCATGTTGGACTACAGCTTCCAGAATCCTCCAGCTGGCTCAGACTGATGGACATCTGGAGGGCACAAAATTACAGAAGGTTTTTCTATACTTAGGAATGTGGCAATCCTTACTACCTACTCCTAATGGATGTCTCACCTTCCTACAAAAATCAGCTCTAAACCATTCCCCCTGGTGGGCTAAGGAGCAATGGACCTCCCGGCCCCACCATCTCTGTTCTCTCACCCAAGTTGTTCAGAACACGCGCCCTCCATCACGCAGACAGAAAGCCAACTGCATCTGACAGGCAGCTGTGCTGCCCATGCCCTTCCCAGGTGTCCTAGCCCACTGGTCTTCTCTGTGTTCCCACTGCTCCTAGGCATGCACACTCCAACTCTCTGCTGCCCACATCCTTCCCACATAGCCCAAAACTGTTAAATGGAACCTCCAGGTAAAGAAGCAGTATGCCTGAATGCAAGGTGCTGGGAGGCAGCAAGCCGGGCAAAGGCCATCTCCTTTACCAGGCCTTGCTTTTGAGCGCTCAGGTGTTCCAAGACAGAATTTTGGTCATGCTCAGGAAAGCTATTCTTAATGTGCATCCTCAAAACTCTCCCCCGACACACATCTGTTCTGACTGACCAAGCCCCCGCTTCCCTTTCTCTGCCAAAGCATCTTCACCCCAAAGTCTCTACTCCCAGAAAATCTAGGCCAGCCTACTCAGCCTGGTGGCTTCTTGAAATGTTTGGCTTTAACTCCCAGAATCCCCCGGCTGGGTGGGGGATTCTGGGAGTTGCAGCGCAATACATCTGTTGGGAAAGGCTGATCTCGGGATGGGAGTTCCCAGCTCTGTGCCCCCCCCCCCCCCAGCTCAACCTCATCAGAACACCTCGCCGCCGGTGATGCCTCCTCATCCAGGGCGAGCCCGGGCACCCCGCCTGCCAGCCACAAAACTCCCGGCCGCGTTTTCCCCGCTCCAACGCCCTCCCGTCCTCCCTGACGCCCTGCTTCTTAGACCGGAGAGTCCAGAGAACAAAAGCTCGGAGCTGGGCGAGCATCGCAAGAGAAGCGAAGCTGCAGAAGCCCGGCCGGCGCCGTGACTGTGGATCGGGGTGGCTCCAAACATCCTCTTCTGTTCCTACTGCAAGCTCGCCCCACTCCTCCCGATTTACTTCGGGGTCTTTGTCCCCCCACCCCGCATTTCCTCCACCTATTGCCATGTAAGTGCCTACACATCCTTTCCCGAGCATTGCACCCGGTCCTTTCCTGCCATTTCCTTCTCTAGTATGGATCTTCAGCCGTACCTGTTCCATCCAGTCTGGCACCAAGATTTCACCCCCGCGCCCTTCCCAACTTTCTGCTTCCTTCAGTCGGGGAAGCAGCAGTTCGGAAAAACTCCCCTCCTCCGTCTCCTCTTTCTGCCCGGTCTCTTTTTCCCTAATGCACGCCTCCCCTTTAAGTGCAGCCAAAAAGGCAATTAAAGGGAACTCGAGCTTGCCCCCCCGTTTTTTGTCTGCCGTCAAAAAGACAACTTAAATAGCTGTAGGGTTGCTACTGCTTCTCGTTCTTCAGTTTAAAGACACAACCGGGCCTTTAGCCATGGATGGACTTGGTGGGGACTGTCGCCTAATTTTTTCTCTGCCCTCCCTATTATTATTATTATTATTATTATTATTATTATTATTATTAAAAGCGGTTTGCAATTTGGTCTTTTGAAAGCCTGAAAACCAGCTGAACTGGCTCCACTAAAGTCGAGACAAAGAATCAGGTTGAACAGCACAGCGGATAGTTGATTCTGTGATTCAGTTTAGGCCAGATACTTTGGAGGAGCGATAAACCAAGTTGAATTAAATCGAGATCGTTAAAGGCTCAGTACAATTCAAAGTGCGCAAGCAAAGTTTTAGCTTTAAAAAATAATTAAAGGAACAGTTACAACCTTACCAACAATCTAAATCTCACAGGTCCTTTATGCGATTAAGTATGTCACTTCCAGCAATACATGATGGGAGGTCATTGCCTCCCACTTCGAGCTGTTAAACGTAGCAGCGTGTCAACCTGTAGACAAAGGTACAGAGGCAAATGTATTGAACCACAAGTCCCAGTAGCCCCAGCCAGCATGGCCAATGGTACCAGGCTGGGGAAGCCTGAAATAAGGCTGGAAATTCACCACCACAACAATATTTATTGATAAAAATAATAATTGCTTCATATGGTTTTCATACCCTGAATATGCAGAATAAAGCTGCGACATTTACACCTCCAAGTTGTAAAAATATACAACTTGGGAAAATATACTTGAGTTGGGAAAATATATATTCTAGAAATAAGAATATATGCTAAAAGGGCATATTATAGGAGACTGCATCATGTGTACTGCACAAGTTCCTTCTTAGCATTTAAAATAAAGATGAGGGAAATTAAAATAATAATAGAGTAAAACTAGCGAGCCAGCATGGTATAGCATTGGACATAGATGGGGGACTCATCCTCAAATCCCCCCATCCGACATGAATCTTATTGGATGACCCTACATCCCTTCTTCTTGACCTGCCTACCTGACAAGATTGTTGTGAGAATAAAATGGCACAGAAAATAATCTGCATCACTTTGAGCTCCCTGAAGAAAAACTAAACAACAAATGCAATTAAACATGGCATCTCTTCTACTTTCTTCTTCTTATTATTATTATTATTGCCAAATTAAAAAGGAAGACTTGTTTACTTTTTCTGTTCATATTTCTGTAAAAGAACTATGATGAATACTCAAAAATGAATAGTGCCATACAATCTTAGGCATGTTTATTCAGCAGTAACAAGAAGTCTTACTGTGTCAATGGGGCTTTATTCCCTGCTAAATGTATTTAGGATTACAGTCTAAACGTACAGTTTCAACCCTTTGCAAGAAAATTATAAAAACAGGCAGATTTCATCCACAAGATTTTGAAATGTTCTGCAGCATTTTGGAACAATGTAATCAACAGTCCACATTTTCATTCTATCTAAAACTGGGTGGCTGCAGGGGTTAAAATCTAGAGTACCATCTGCTTGTCTTGGCTTAAATATTCCTCAGAAGTTTTTATCAACTGCTGACAGGTTTTATTTTACAAAAGATTAATAGAAATAAGCATGAATTTAAATTAACAAGTGGCTAAAGAAATTAGCAGTTCAAAGTAATGTGGAGTTTTTCAACACACAAAATTTGATCAGAGGGACTCCCTCCCACAAAATAAAAAAATATCAGCCTATGTGCTCAAATTAGAAATATGGCAGCTGGGTTCTTGCCTTACCTTCCTGGAAAATGTTCTTCTTCCACACCAGATGCTAAGTGCATTTTGCAAATACTTCAGGGTGCTGTCTTCAATCAGAATATGTTAGTATTGCATATGAAATACTAACAAACACATGATATATAGGACACTGAAGAGCAGCTCCATGCTTCATCCAGTGAACTCTGAGCAACATTCCTGAATTCCTGCATGTATGTCACGATTTAGCCTGCAAAGCATATGAGCATTATCCCACCCACCCTAGAGATGACCGAGGAATTTCATGCAAAGCAAACAGTACTACATCATGTTATTAATGTTTTGTGTGCGAAGTCAGAAGATTCTTAAGCTGGCTTAAACAAAAATCAATTGGTACATAAAACGGCAAGTTCAGTGTGTCTTCCTTCTTCAATGAATCTTCTTTATCAGAAGTTGCCCTAACAATGTCAGACTATTGGTTCATCTAGTCAGTACTGGGATTGACTAGGATTTCAGGAACAACTCTGCGTTTCTTTCCGCCCTATGTGGGGACGTCAGAAATTGAACCTGGAACCTTGGGCATGTGTTCTACCAGTGAGCCATCTTGCAAACAGCCGCGCGCGTGTGTGTGTGTGTTATGTAGTTGGAAGGCACTCAGAGCTCCTACCAATGGATCTACAAGATTAAAGTAACACATCACTTTATTTATGTAGCACACAAAGATGGACCAAAACTCCAGAGAATTATTTTTAATTAATAAAAAAGAGGACACACAGATTCCACACTAAATATGAAGTTGAGGAAACATGAGTCAAGTCTCCCTGGAAGCTTTGGAGGTGCCAGTTCATCCAGCACTTTGGAACACCGGCCTGTATGTCAGTCTTATTTGCCACCCAAATTCCTCTGTCACAGAAACAGAGATCTTGTTTGTTAGATATCATAGGAAACTTTTACGGTCTCACCACGCAGGCTGCAAGACTACAGCAGAACTGGGGCTCAAAACCTCACCCACAGAACACAAGCTCTGGCCCTCAACTATGGGGGAAATGTTTGCGATTGTTCCAAGCGTTTGAGAATAGAGGGAAACAAGGCCTGATAAAAGGGTAGATAGGTTTGCACATGGCTCTGATCTAAAGAGTAGATGCGCAGTACAGCGTATGTGGAAAGGAATGCAAAATCACCAATGCTGTTTCAATGGAAATGTTTGGAGGGGTGGGAGCAAAGAGACTGTTACGGCCCGAAAGTGGGGACATAGACTACATTCCATCCTTTAGTATTGCCACTTGGGGTTTTATGCTTTCTAAATCTGAACTGGAACCTCTTAGCTGTTTGATTTAGGAGATGGGGAGGGAGGTCTTATTATATCTCCAAACTCTTCCCCTTAGCTCCTCCAAATTTTAACCAAACCATAATCTCTCGTAGCTTTCTAAAAATAGAAGCAACAAGGCCGCCACAAAACCAAAAGGTGCCAGGTCCTTGCTAGTGTTGCTGTACTTTGAACACACCCTTAAAAGGAGTGCAACTTTTTCCTCTGTGCACTATGGAATTCAGCCTTTTCTAACCTCCTACTACATCTCTTTCAAAAGGATCTTTCGTGTTGTTTATGACAGGGAGTGGGGAAGACAGACAGAAATTTGGGCATGGGTGTCATTGGGATGAGATCTCAGGATTTCAAACCAGAGGCAGTAGTCATAAAAGCTTGGCATCTAAGACCATAGCAAGGGGCTCAAAATAAACAGTCCAATTAAGCTTGAACCATTTGCTATATTCAATTTAAAACCTTTACAGAAGGGGAGCTATTTTCATGGCTGCCCCATCTAATCCTTCTGCCCCTGAACCTACCATTATGATCTGTAAAGGAAATCTGCCCTAGTTTTCCATTGGGCCAATGTCTTCATGCTGTGTTTTGGGGTCACCCTGTATATAACATCCCTCTAAATTAGTGCTTGGTAGCTTCCAAGAGAGATCTTCAAATGAATAGGAGGGTTATTGACAGATATGCACAGCCAGATTGCCTAAGAGCATGCCCTCAGGCGAGTTCTGGGCCATGTGTGCAGGGTCGAGGCAGTGCCTGCAGGTTTCTCCCCATCAGGTGTCCACAACGTAAGACAAGGCCTGGTCCCTTGGACACTGACAGAGTGAGAGGCAGGCTATGCTCTGCATGGCCAAGAGGAGCAACGGCAGGCCAGGGTATCCAAGCTAGCTGCATGAGGCCTACAGGAGCACCGCGAGCAGGAAGGACAGCCTCCCTGCCAGCTTAGGTTATCGGGAGTGCAGACAGGCAGTTCCTATGGAAGGGAGCAGGGCAGCATGGGAAGGCAAGAGGTGTCCATGCTAGGTCTGAGGAAGCTGGCGTCTGCATGCCAGGTAGCTTGTGGCGGAGCAGGATGAGATTCTCCCTTCCCATTTTGCCCCAAGAAGCAGCTAGTCCTTGAACTGACCGGTGTGAGAAGTATCAGGTCCATAATACATGGGCAGATAGGTGCAGGCTAGGATCTCTACAGCATGCGTGGATGCTAGCAGGGCCTAGATGACAGCTGTCCAAGCCTGGGCTGGCCTTCGCCATGCCAGTCTCCATGGCCCGAGTCGAGTCCCCCCAGGTGCCAGTCTCTACGGTGCAGGGAGAAGCTGCAGCCGGTGCTTGCGGCGGATGTGCCTCTGGAGGGTATTGCGCTCGCCGAAGCGCATGTGGCACGCCTCGCACTGGTAAGGCCGCTCGCCCGTGTGCACCCGCTGGTGATGGGAGAGCTCCCCAGAGTCACGGAAGCTGCGCTGGCAGATGGGGCACTGGTGGGGCTTCCGGCCTGAGTGGGTATACTTGTGGCGCTCCAGGTGAGAAGTGCGCTTGAAGGCCTTGCCGCATGCTCGGCAGACGTGAGGCTTGCTTTCTGAGTGGGTGATGCTGTGACGCTGCAGGTAAGACAGGTACTCAAATGTCCGAGAGCACACGGGGCAGCTGTACACCTTACGCAGCGGTGCCCCCGCCCCACCCCCTTCAGTTCCCCCTGCTGCCCCCACCCCTTCTTCCACCAGCACTGTGTACGGCAGCCCCTGACTGTCAATCAGCAAGTAGCGGCCCAGTCGAGAAGGTTCACCTTGCTCCGTGCCTGCTGTCCCACCGGGTACATGTGCCCGTCTGCCTGCTCCTGGAAGCCCATTCAAACCCTGAAGGAGGGCACCCCCAGAGGAAGGCACTGGTGGACGAGAGAGTTTTGGAGGTGGAGTTTGGATATCTCCTCCTTCATCCACCATCTCCAGCTTGATAGGCTGTCCCACATCACTTGTGGGCTCTTGCAAAAAGGGGTGTTCCAAGATTTCTGGTGGTCTGTGAGGATCTCCTATAGACTTGGAATGTCTCTGCAGCTCCATAGGTATCTCTTTATGAGTACTTCCTTGGGGATGGATGCCAAGTCTGCAATAAAAAAGCCAAGGGGGGGGGGGAGATTTATATAGGTGTACCCACAACTTTCAGCACTAGAATTATACATGGCTGCCAAGCAATGGAAGAGAGTAGTCAATTAATCTCTTGCCTTTTAAAGATTACATTAAGGCACAATCCTGTGCAAGTCTGTTTATTAGATTTATATCCTACCCTTTTTCTTTTTAAAAAGAACTCAAAGCAGTTTACATCTGTGTTCTCCTGCTGCTCTCAACCTTATCCTCACATCAACAACCCTGTGAGGGAAGTTGGGCTGAGAGTCTCTGTCTGGCCCAAAGTCACCCAGTTGGCTCCATGGCTGAGCGGGGACTAGAACCCAGATTGCCTTAGTCCCAGTTCTCTTCTCTGAACCACTACACACCACTAGCTCACACAGCATCGCTATAGGGCCTTTTTTTTCTTCTAAACTGTGCTCTTAATCAATTAAAATAAAATTAGCATATTCCCAACATTCAAAATGCATCCCTTTCCCAAGATAATTTGCAATTTAATAAAAGAAAGGCTATCATTCATTGCTAGTTCAAATATTTTCTTATTAATTCTGTTGATACACTAACACAATAGAGCCAAAAACTTTCACACAGCAGCATCTTTACCTTGCAACCATTCCAGTGTCACGTACCCTCCACTGATTAATCTGTCGACAGCCTGATCTTACCCTTGCTTACTTGGGAAGCTTAGCCCACTGAATGGAGTTTACTATTAGGTAAGTGTGTCTACATCTGCAACCTCAAACTGCAATCCTATTTTGCAGTAAATCCAAATGAACCTGTTGAGACTTATCTGGAGTAAACATACATAGGTCCAGGCTGCAAAACTGTAGCTTATTCCTTTATGAATTACAAGCAAAGCTTGCAGTGCCTTTAGATGGAGCTGTCAAGGTTGCATTCAATTATGAATAGGCCATCAAGGGTTGCAGTGTGTTTGACCTCTCACAGAATAAACACTGGTTGGGATTCCACATTCCCTCGACTTGGAGAATTCAAACATGCTGAGTTCCAAATGAGTAGTTGCCTAACCATTGGTCATGTTCCCCTTCCACTTATAGTGTGATTCAGTACAACTAAAATACATCAGTGAAAGAATTGCCCATGACAGGAAGCAGAAAGTTGATGGGCCCCATTAAGACACCTGGCAAAAACCCTGTAGGCATACAGACACAAAGTGTTTGTTGTCTTTGATCCGGTGAATGCAGCCATAGTTCTTGCTGCCTGTGCAAATGAGAACCATGTTTTGCTGAGCAGAAGCCGCAGTCTATAGCAGGTATGTATACAAGCCAATAAAGCAGAAGAGAAGAAAGCTGAAAGATCTGAAGAAATGTTGGCAAAATTGGCCACAGCAGATTGTCATGGTAAGATTTCATCCTCTAGAGCAGGGAGGGGCAGCTAGTGGCTCCCCAGGTGTGTTGGACTGCAACAACCATCAGCCCTTACCATTGGCTAAGCTGGCCAGCTGATGGGAGTTACAGTCCAGCAACATCTGAACAGCCGCAAGTTGCCTGTCTCTGTTCCAGAGAAGGCAACACAGAAAACATGAGTATCTAAAAGAAATGTGGAAAGGGCTCAGAAAAACATTATGTCAGCATCTAAGAATATAGTATCTGCACAGCTCCTCAGAGGCTATCAAAGAGCAATATTAATTCTCAGGGGTAGCTTGTTCAACATTTGTGAGAATACCTGACCAGGCCTAATTCTGAGGGAAAGGAAAGGACTTTCCTGAGATGACCACCTCCTCCCCAGCTATACCCAAGTGGGCCATACTTGTGCTGCTAGGGCAGCAAAAATGTAATCGAAGGAGAGCCTGGGGCTCTACTACCTTTTCCCATTTGTGGTTCTGTCTCTGTCTAGTCCAACATTCTGTTTCCAACAGCAGCCAGAAAAATGCCTCTGGGAAGCTTATACAGCAGGGCACCAAAGAAGCAGTATTCACATTGTTTATCCTTAGCATTTGGTATCCAGAGGTACACTGCCTCTGAACATGGAAGCTTATCTAAGCTATCATGGCTAAAAGGAAGGCTTCAATGGTCACCATTGGCAAAGGTCAGGTAGATGGAGCCAATGGAAGGTATGGTGGGAGTGTATGGGTGGGGTAGGACTTGAAGCACATCCCCTTTTTGGATGCAATAGCTGCCCCCCATCCAAAATCTAGTGGCTCTCCCACTTGAACATGGGGTAATGATCAACATACCAATAGGGTTACCCCCACTGATTAACTTAAAGGGCAGCATTTCTACATTGCTAGTCTTAAGAGACTCACACATGGCCTGAGAATGGGTATCAACATTCCCCAGCAAGATCTTGGTTGATGCTCATGTTACTTCCTCACACAATTAAGATATCAACAACCAGTTCATTTAACACCCTGGCCCCAAACTTACCCAGCTTGGGTGGTGTGCCAAAGGCTCTGTCTCAGCTGTCATTTCTGCACCAAAGTCTCATGCCAAAGTAAGGCAGACACCAGAATGTCACCTTTGCTACCATCCTGGAAGGAAGTAAACTGTAATGTCCAGGTGAAGAAGAGAAGTCCTCTGGTGGCTCCCAATCCAACAGAGCAGTATCAGTTGACAGTGGGTGGCACTGATCGAAGTGAAGACATTAGTGGTACCAATCCAAGATGCATGCTGAGATCTGCTTGGCAGAACATGCCCCCATGTTACCATGAAGTAGGAGTAAGGGCTTCTTCACCTTGGCACCCAAGGCACAGCAAGCTGGCAGACAACAGCAAGCTGATCTAGAAGTACCAATCCAAAGAACAGCAAAGTTGCCCAAGGCACAAACTGTAGCAGTGATCCTGAAGAAAAGCCATGGGATAGGTGGCACCTATCCAGCAGGTACAGCTGGCAGCAAGCAATAGCAACCCACTGTGGCAACGGAAAACAGATCCAAGCTGCTTAGTGGCCTTAAGGTTTGGTGGAGTTGGCACCGCGCTCCAAACGCCAGTTTGGAAACAGCCTCCGCCCACCCGCTTTATGGCAAGCAAAGGGGTTCCTATGATCACCGCGAACCAGCGTCCAAATGTGCCAGGTCCACCTTGCTCCCCTCCAAAACAATGCAGTGCATACAGTCTGCCCCCCCACCCCAGTCAGTTGCTCTTTAGCTGCTCCAGTGTCCTAAGGAAACAGAAGGGGAAACTAAGGATCAGAGAGGAGAGGGGAGGGAAATCTCTGCAGAGGGCGGGTTTGGGGGGTTGGGGGTTTCTACCTAGCTCTTCCTGGGGGCGGAGAAGGGAGGTTGGAGGTGGTGGAGGAGGAGGAGGAGAAAGAGGAGGAGGAGGAGTGGGTGTCACAGCGAAAAGAGTCCTGTCGGAAACACAGCTGCTTCTCCCACCGGCTCCTGCTAAAGAGGTTCCCGGGGAAACATTCCTCCTCTCTCTCGCACCGGGGATGGAAACGGAGGTGGGGGAGAGATCCTCACTCACCCTGCACAAAGCTAAGGGACCCCGGCACCCGGCAGCTGCCCCCCACCGCCCCGACCGCCACTCGAAACCTACTGGGACCCTCCTTCACTTTGCTCCTCCTCGACTCCAAAATTAGGACATCAGTTCTGCGCAGCCCCGGAATCCGGTCGCGCGGCCCGTGAAGCCTTCGAGCAGGGAGCGCTCGCCGTCACGCAGGAGCGCGCGGGGCCCCGAGGCCGCCTCGCCTCTTCCACTGAGGCATCGCTGGGGCAGCCCAGGGCAGCCAAGGGGAAGGTGGCTGGGGGGCTCTAGGGGGAAGGGTGTGTGGCTTGAGCCCCGGAACTGCTCTTGCCAGGCTGAAATCCTCCGCGTGCTGCTCTGGGACGAAGTGCCCGCCACCGACATCCCCTCGGGGGGAAAAGATGCTTCAGAGGACCGAGTATCAAGAAGTGAAGCGGCCAGGAGCCCAGGGGTCCCGCCTGCGCGTCTCGCCCGCTGCCCAGGGCACCCGGGGGTCGGACCCTCTGCCATCACCACTCTCTCTAGCCCCAGCCCTGGCGCAGGCAGTCGGTTGGCCACTGTAGGAACAGAGGGCATTCTAAACGCCCCTGATCTAGCATGGCTCTTACGTCCTCACATTTATTCCTCTGTTCCCTAGCACATCACCACAAACCAGACGCAAGTTCCGGATTCCTCTCCAGCCAAAATCCACTAGAGCTCCCTTACCCTTTCCCCAGCCCAGAGGAAGTGCTAGCTCCATGCCACTTCCAATGCAAGTACTTTGGCTTCATGTTTTAGTCAACCTGTTCTCCACTCCCCACCCTGGCTTCTGCCTGAACTGTTAAGTAGAAAAACATCAGGTCCAGCCCCTGTCAAAGAGTGTGTAGTGATGATGATGATGGAAGTATATCTGCCTGTTTGTTTACCAGTGCCAGAGTGATGTGAAACCTATACACCTGAAACTTGGCATGCATACGAAGAAGACCCTAAGGGTGTGCCATTCAGGGTATCTGTTTTTTTAAAAAAAATTGCATTATGTTTAAATAATGTTAATGTATCCTTGGATTTCAAGCCTCTAGTACCATCTTCAGACACTAGATGGAAGATTTCCCTAACCATCACATAGCTTAGTGGTCCATACAGTTTGATGGGAAAAGTAAGACAGACAGAGTTATATGGCTGTGCATTCCCCCTGCTGTGGGGCAGCCCTTGTCTCGTGGAAATGCATTGGACAAAACCCTCCATTCCTCAGGCTCTTATAGGGGCGCATGTGTGGGAGAGGATCATAGGAAAGTTAGTTTTCCCACCTGATGAAATGAATGACACCAAATCCTTGATGATATCTAAGGTGAAATGGCTATTACTAAAATCAGGAGGGCAGTTGAGTTTAGCACCACCATCAGATGAGACAGCAGTAGGAGCCTGGAGGATTCCTGGATTCTTCATGACCCATGAAGCTGGTTGATGGGAGATTCAGGACAGATACAAGTTAAACAATAAAATCATTGTTTATTGTTGCAATCGTAAGATACTATTTTACTTATCCTATTATTGAACAAATGGTATCCAAACCTGTTGAATGACGTATGTAAAACTGGACCGTAAATGGACACCACTGATAACCACCAGAAACCACCTGCCCAGGTGGATAGACTGGGATCAGATTAGTACTAATTCTAAACAGATCTCTTAATAAATCTTGTTCTCTCTAGATGAACTTGGAATTTTGGCTTCTGCCCTACCTTAACTATTACATGTAGGTAGAGCCTTTCAGCAGTTAAGGATTTCTTTGCTCTTCTTTTCCCTCTAGTACAGAGATGCAATAACACCAGCCTTAAATCTTTGTGGTCCAAACATTCAACCCACAGCCATATGCTTTCCCTCACCCTGGCTCATCTTCCTCTTTGGATGGCCTTGATCTGTGAAATTTTGTGCTAATGAAGGACATGTATTAGAAGCTGGAGTCTGTGTACATAGGGGTGGGGAGTCAATGAAAAGAAACCTGTCTTATCATCCAACTTGGCTTTTAGTGACCTTGCTAATATAAAAAGTGCTGTATTTCTGTTCACCATTGTCCTTTATCTACCAAGGAATCTATATGTTTTGTCTAAGTTTGGAAACAAATTCAAGTCTCAACAGGATTTGTATTTTTAGAAATGAGAAAATCAGCCGATACCAAGATTCTTTGTCTCAACCATCCTAGGTGCAAACTGAAACTAGCTGACACTGCAAATACATTTATTTATTTATTTAGGTTTATATTCTAAAAAGTCATCAAAGTGATCTACAGCAGTTTCAAACTATAAAGCTTAAAATAATGAAAACAAAAACAGTTAAAAAATAAGCTACTCACCTATAAAAAAGAAAACATGTATCTTTGCGTCTTTTCCAAAGGCCAAGAAAGTAGTGGTCAATTGTAGTTCGTATTTGGAGACAATGGTGGTAAAATCCCTTTCACATCTGCCTGACAATCCATTTAAGACTGCTCCCTTCTTCATGGACTTAAGACTAACCATTCATGGCTTTCACACCTAGGGAACAATCCTAAGCATTGCTATGGGAAAAGTAGGACTTTTTTCCATCCAAGCAAGCATCGGATTGCTCATCAGGTACGCTTTCTGCTCCTCCATCCTTCTCTCCCTCTTTTAGTAACATCTTGCCTAGTGAAGAGATTAGGAGATCTTGAATGCTGGTCCAAAATGTTGAGCACATTTAACTGTACATAACATAAAGCTAATTGTGGATTTTGGCTTTTTTCATGGACAAAGCATGCTTTAGCTTCTTTAAGGCATAATCTGATGCAAGTTTAGACAGAAGAAAGGTCTACAACTTCTAGCATGCCTCAGCCAGCATAACTGGGAATTGTAGGCCGTTTTTCTGTCTAAACTTGCAGAGGATTGTGACTTTAAGCCCCGTTAGAAACATAGTCACCCACCCCACCTCCACACGCCTCATACAACTGTTCTTAAACAATACATGCGTATGGTATATTAAAAAATAAACAACACTGTGAAACAAACCCAGATCCATTCTTCCCTTTCATATCCACACAAAGAAAGCAATAGATGGCAAATATGTAATATGTTTAGGGTTAGGCCTTCCTTGGAGTCTTCTGCCTTCTCCCACCTGCTAGGATAATGACCAGGCACTGGGAGCCTATTTTTAATCTTAATTATGGGTTTTGGCATTAAAATCATGCCTGTACTTGCACATTCTGGGCGCCGTTCTAGCATCCTTATAAACTCCCCTGCATTCTTCTACAATCATCTGGGCCTCCAGTTATAGCAAGGGTTAGGGTTTGCCCTTGGCTTGTTTGCTATATTTATTTTCTTTATTCCAAACCAAATCGAAACCCCACTTTTACATGGAAAATGGAGGTCCACCACTCTTGGTCATGTGCCAGCCTATCCCACTCGCTGGCTTTTCCACCCTGTTCTTTTGAGCCATCTGAGTGTCGCAACCAAAGGCAAGATGCTAGGAGTGGGACATTCCCACCCTAAAAGGCTTCCTTTGTGCAGGAGGAACAGTCAATTATACCCATGTTTAAAGCCCAGCATGCTTTTGGTCCACACCAGGCCTGGCCATATAATTAGGCAGAATGATGCAGTGGCCCAGGCTGTGATGTAAACAGGTGTGACTGGGAGGCAGTGCACCTGGAAAGCGGAATGGTGGATCTACAACAGAAATAGCCAAGTGGGGATGGGGATGGCCTATTCCATTCTAATCACAGCAGGTGTCATTTTAAAAAGTAAATATAATCATTAGAATAGATTGTGTCTTCCAACCTGAAATTACACTGAACATGACACTCAACATCCGAGGCCTTCCTCCGAGTGCCACCTCCAAGGAAGGTGTGGAGAATGGCCAAAAGGTAGAGGGCCTTCTCAGTGGCAGCCCCCAGTTATGAATTAATCCCTCCACTGAGGCCTCATTGGCATCAACTCTGTCAGCACCAGGTTAAGACCCTCCTGTTACTGCTATGCACTTAATGGTAGTTCAAGGCCACACACTGAGGCATTTATGGCAGCCATCTTTTTAACAAGTCTGGTATTTTGGCTGAAATTATGTTTAGGTGTTTAAACTATTTTTAAATTGCATATGTTTTATTATCTGAATTGGTGCATTTTATGAATCATTGTGAACTGCTCAGAGAGCTTCAGCTATTGGGTGGTACAGAAAACAACCAATAATAATCAGTATAGGTATCAGTATATCCTTCATTCTATTTGGAGGTGCTCAGCACACACTCAGAGGCACTCTTTCTTCCTAACATGTACTAAGGTCAGGCCCTGACAGCATTCCAGACAAAACAGCCTGCAAGGCCTGAACTTCCTCTGCTTAGGCAAACTGTGCGATACATTAGGATTAACAAGCTGGAGGGGGAAGAGTATGGAGAATTTCTGTAGGCACGTGACCGGATGGCCAAGGCAGTGCGGAAAGTCTAATCGTTGCATGCCCTTGTTATGACTTTTTCCTCTGCTTCACCTCAATACTTCACACGTGCACGCATCACCTGGCTTCCGGCAAGCAGAATGTGCGAACTGATTCCTGTGCAATGAAGCGACAGCGGGCATAGGATGACCCTAAATCCATTTTTCTACCGCTATAGTCATCACAGCTCGTTCACACGTGCAGGTCGTAACTCCATGTGCACGCATCCCTCCTTCTCCCGTACCGATAAACCGTCCCTGCGTGAAAAAGGCCCGGGATTTTGTTTCCAGCCGCAGATTCCTCGTTCTCTGCCCAGGTTCTGCCACCATCCCTTCCCACCTCAAGGTTTTCGTGCGCCTCCTCCGTCTCCTGACACGCCTCTTCCCGCCGCACTTTCCAAGCGCTCCCCTGCGCTCTCTGCTTGCTTGCTGCCTGGCGCTACTTGTTTGGACGCTCCGCGGTGGATGCGGCCGCAGGAGCAAGGTAAGGAGTTCGTCGGCCTGGCTGGAGCAGGGGAGACAGACTCTGCCCGCACCCCTCGACTTCCCTGGATCTTTGCCTGCCCGCTGCCCACCCCCTCCTGCGTTCCAGGAACGCTGCCGGTTCCCTGGAGGTCGGCCCCCGAAATATGCCATGCCGAAAAGCCTCCGGGCGCTGCGCCCGGGGCGCACGGAAGGTCCCCGCTTGGCGTTCCAAAGTGCCAGGAGCACGTCGCCAGCGAAATTTGGAGAGGGGAGGAGAAAAGCAGGGAGGCATCCTTCATCATAGGGCATCAGCAGCCGGGGCCATTTTGGAGTTGTGGTAATGGGCTCTGATTTTCTTTGCCAGACGCCCATTTGGATTGGGAGGGGACCGGCTCGGGTGGCCGATCTCCCCCCTCCCTCCTCGGGCGATTCATTGGCGCTGGTGGCGTCGTCAGGTCGATCCGGTATATAAGGAGTTTGCGTGGGAGAAGCTGATATTTGCTGGGATGCGGGCCAGGAGGGGGGCGCTGAGGAGGGGGCTGCGGGGTGGTGGGCCTCGCTGTGCCTCTTTTGGCTGCGAGTTGGGCAGGAGAGAATCTGCAGGTCGGTTTAGGAGCACGTGATAGTAATGGGGAGGGGGCGCCGTTTGCCGGGCAAGGAAAACGTCTTTGAGGACAAGGAAGGTAAGTGGGGTGTCGATGCTGCGAATGGGGTCTGACTGGGCCAGAAGCCCCTTTTGGGCTTTGGAGAAGTGGCCCAGCCAAGGCATGTTGTTGGCCCAACCAGCAGCAGTGCAGGATCTGGACACCATGCCCCAACATCCCTTGCAGCGTCCCAGGTGATCCTGGGGCATGACACTCATTCTGGCTGCACTCTGCTTCATAGGCACCCCTAGAGACTCGCCTTCCCTCCGATGGCATTGCTTGAGCTCCTGGTGCAGTTGGCCCAGCCCCGACCTTTGCTTCAGATTTCACGTCCACAGACCAGAGTGATTGATTTCGGGATTTAGGTGAGACTGCTGGAGAACAGTGCGTGGCCAGAAGGGGGGTGGCTAGGGAAAAGGGCATCTGGGGATCTAGGAACAGCAGTACCCCTGCTTATGAAACATGCCTATGGCTATGGCCCTCTTTTCCATGTATAAAAGCAAACAAAACTCAGGGTAGCTTACAAAAAGCAATACCAAGTGGTCATATTACTAGTTGTATGCTCCCTTTTGGTAGATGTTACACCCAATTAACAAATACACCCCTTATACCATCCAGTTCCTACATGGATAAGTAATTATCCAGTAGTGACTTAAATCTGGGAGGCTGTGCATAGAGGATGAATTATGGGGTGCTGCAGGGGTCCCTGCTCTAGCCATGGAAATATTTTATATAAGGGAGTGGGTGCCATTGCCCTACTTTGAGCAAATTAGTGGAGATTTGGGAAGCAAGTGGAGCACAGGCTGGACATGAAAGGAGAGAAGGGTGATGACCTAGTACTATGCTACTTTGTGGGATTTTAGCCGGAGTCATAAAGCACTTTTTCCTTAGGATCCAGTCCCTTCATGTACTCTCTTTTGTAACTGCATCTTACAACAAACTTATATAATATCCTCGTATCATCTAAGTATGCATTACCGAAGGGAGTTGAACCTGAGGATTATGGCTTTCCTCAGATGGGTGTTCTGAGAGAGGATGCAGAAACGCTTGGGCCACAGTTAAGTTCATTGTGGTACATGGATAATGCGAAGATGGTGGAGATGGATGGACCAAGGAGAAGCAATATCATTTGAAGATGAGGAGGAGCGGGAGGAGAGCAGTGGTGTTGAACTGAGCGGCATTTAGACAAGGCTGATGGGATTGGGGAGAGGCTGAAACCCACAGGCTGAGCTGAAGGGTGAAACCCAGAGTCTTTTGCACTGCTGTCAGACTTTTAGGTGTTTAAGCAGCCAGGCAACTGCGATTCTCCACTCCTCTGAGCCGTCCACAGCCCAGAGCAATACCTGGGAGAATTGGTGAGGAGGCTGAACATGGCTGCGTGGGGTGTGGAGGTGAGCAGAGACAGGGCTTGCTTGACTTCCCCATAGGAGGGAGACTGGTGAGGAGCCACTCTTCAGGCGCCTGCCCCACCTGGACTCTCCGCTCTTCCACGCCAGGGCCCTCGTCCACAAGCAGCCTTTTGGGAGGGATCCTCATAATTCACGATCTGTTGATATGTACACTGCATGTGTGCGTCATTTTAAAGCATCCGTTCCCTTTTCTTCTAAATACAGTGAAGAGAAGTGCCGGGATATGTAGTGGTGACAGGTATAGGCTGAAGAGAATTTCAGGGATGGAGCCCTGGCATATGGCTCCATATGTTATTTGTTTCTCGGCGCCAGGCGAAGACCTTTTTATTCAAACGTCATCTTAATTGCTAATATTATTTGCTTAATTCTTCGGCCAGGGCGACTTATTTTATAATGTTAATGTGTTTTATATTTTTAGTGTTTTATATTTTAACTGATGTTTTGTAAGCCGCCCCGAGGCTTCGGCAAATGGGGCGGCATAGAAATTTTTAAATAAATAAATAAGGCACAAGACCAGCAGCATCCAAGGTGCTGAGCTGTCTGCAACACATGACGGTTATTAGAAATAAACAGTTCTCCCCACCCTGGGCTTTCTGGTATGAATTACCTTAGAGAACAGGGAGTGGAAAAGGTGTGAGACCTTGAGGATGTGGCAATTAATGGTTTCTTTCTGTTCTGTTCTGTTCTTCCTCTGGGCCAAAACCAGCCAGTGGAGTCCCCAGAGGTCCATACCGCCTTCCCTGCCAACACCAGGAGTTGGTCTGTTCCCCCATTCTAAAAGGCTCAATTACTGACCACAGGAGCTGTAAGTTAAACCTGTGCTGGTGATCTTGATGTTTTGGCCCTGGCCTCTTTGCCTTTGGGCTCCTCCATCCCTGGAAAGCAGCCCACAAACCTTCATCACTCACAGCCTTGAAACTTCCAATGGTAACGTGCATGTGTGAAGTTGTCATCACAGATCAGATGACACCAGAGTATTCGCAGCACCTCAGTCATTGCCATTTTTAAGTCATTTGGTCACCCCTAGAACAGCAAGTGCGTGCGTGTGTGAACTGAAATCTCTTATCCCAGGCTGGGTTGCGAAAAATAAGCTTCCCTGAGAGACAGATGATCTGACACACTGTTTTCGCAGGGAAGGCACCCCAAATATGTAGCTCTTTCAGAGCACCACCCTCTCTGCTTCATATTTGCAAAGGCATCGGTTTGCTCCACTTCCAGCCTCCTGATTACAGGATTGTTTCTCTGGGATCCTGCAACCTACTGGTTTCCTCTTTTGTCTTTGCCTAGGTGTTTGGTGTTATTTCCAGGGGGATCCGTATTTTAACAGAGGACCCTGGAACTCCAAGTGTCAACCTGGCTCAGGTAGATATCCTTCTACGTTCTGAGGAGGGGGTTCTTGAGAAACTAGGATCCCCTAAAGAGACGTTGCGGCACAGTTTTGGGATTGGGGCAGCAATGAGCAAAGAGAACTTGGTTCAAATTCTCTCTCAGCAGTGAAACTCACTGGGCAAGTTTGGGCCAGTTAACAATCTCTTTGTAGTCTCACCCACTGTTGTTCTGAGGACTGTGGTAGCAAATTCCATGATTTAACTATGACTGAGTAAAACACAAAAACCCCTGCCTTTTATCCATCCTGCTTACACCATACAAAGGAAAGCCGCAACCCTATTGGCTTTCAAGATTTCAGGTATGCAGTTTCCTACCTTCCCATGAAGATCTGCATTATAAGATCTCCACTGCCACAGACGCACAAACACAAACGGCAGCACTAACCTTATAGACTGAGAAAGAGAGCAGCATTTTGAAGGAGACAGCATTCAAAATAACCACAAGGTTTCTAGGGTTTACAATCCATGTGCCTCGTTACAGTGCTTCTCCTCTTCTTCAGGTTGGTAGTATCCGTCCAGCTCGGGGCGGGAGGACAATGAGCGAAAGTAACCACCACCAGCCACGGGCAAATACAGGCCGGGGACGCCGTGGAGCCGGAGCAAAGCAAGGTCAGTGAGTGTCGCTTTTGAGGAGGGGTCTACATGGGGCCTGGGTGACCACCATTGTCCTCTTAACAATAGGTTCATTCCAGATACAACTTAGTAGGACTAGCTGAAGTCTGTGTGAAAAGCGTGTAGTAACTTCAAACACGTTGATTGTGTGGGGAACTAAGTGGGTAAGAACTTAATTGTCGCTAACTCGCTTTGAGGCCAACCCTTGTTTCTTGCCAGGCTCGTCAAAATGTTTGTGTTGAGAATTCATAAGCTGGTAGATCCCTGAAGTGGCTGCTACAGAGTGGCCGCTCTTTGCCAGTGTGGTTTTCTCAAGATCACCTTCCATCTCAGCCCCAACCAGCCATCTCTGTACACCATTTGCATTCTCCAAATGCAAAACTGGGGTATGAAGCGGCATGTCTGGACCTGTTCAGGCGTTATCTCACTGGTAAAGCAAACACGCAAGGACACAGAGGGTTCTAACCCAGCCCAGTCTGCTTGACTGTCACATTTGTCACCTTCAATTTCTTATGATTATTAGTAGTAGCAGCACATCACATTTATATCCTGTTTTTCTTCCTCTTGCAAGGAACCCAAGGTGGCTTACAAGGTTTTCTTCCCACTCTCCATTTTTACCCTCACAACAACAACCCTGTGAGGTAGGCTCAGCTGAGAGTTAGCAGCTGCCCCAAAATCTCCCAGTTAGTTCCATGGCTGAGTGGGGACTAGAACCCAATTTGCCTAAGTCTCAGTCCTGCACCACACTGGCTCTCATGGAGGCTGCCTGTCTGAAGCAGAGAGCCTCGTGTATCCTTGGGAGCTCCTCATGAAAGCCAGAATTCAGGGAAATTTGTGTTTTGGTTTGCATGGAGCGCTTCCGCAGACAGAGGAGTCTTTCCTCTTCAAATAGTTAATTTCCATGAAAGGAAGGCAATGAAAGAGGGAGGCAAGGAAGCACACACTCCCTTCTCATGTTTGCTTTACCCAGTAATAGAAAACCTGACCGTACTGCTAGAGGTGCAAAACTATACCCTTGTTTGGAAAATATAAATGATATGAAGCAAGATTAAAGTACCGCTTCTTTATGCTCTAGTAACATTATTTGGTGGACTGTCTGGAATAGTCACTAGCTTTTTTCTTCCATTCTTTCGCTCTCTGACTCATGCACACATACATCATTCTCTAGCTTTGCAGTCCCATTTCATAAGGCCGTGCCATCTCGCTCTGAACCGGTAGCATCACATATTAGCAAAGTTTCAAGTTGCAGCATGAGGCTAAGATGCCAGGTGCTGCTTTGGTTTGAGGTTTTTAATTTGTTTTTAACACCGGCCAGGCAAGAGAGGCATGTGAGTGAGCGACAGCTCTGTGTGATGGTGTGCATGCCACACGCATGTTCGTGTTTTCTAAGGTCATGTTACTGGAACTGCGGTTTTCTGCCTAGCCTTGACTGCAAGGTGGGAAAGGGCACTACGGTCGTTCCCCTCCTAATATTCCCCTATAATAAGTTTATGTCCACTGGCATTTTAACCTTTTTATTTCTTAGGCTCATAGACTGCTTTTTTCTTCCCATCCCTTGCGGTTTATTTTTACAGTGAAGGAGAACAATGAAGCGTATGAAATGCGGCTCATCCAAAGGCATGGGTATCAGATGGAATCTCAGACGCAAACTCATCAACAGTTATATTACGGCCTGAGCCCCCCGGAGAACTTTGATGGTGAGAAAAAACATCCCCGCTTGGCCATTGACATGTGAACATCCTTTCACTAGGAACTGGATCCTGCGGATCAGGCATGGGGAACCAGTGGCCCTGCACGCCTTCTTTGTCTCCAAGCTCCCATCAGCCCCAGCAAGCATGGCTAATGGTTGAAGATGTCAGGAACTCTTGTTCTGTAACATCTGGGGGGTGGGCACTGGTTCCCTGTGAGTGGCAGACAGGCAGCCTCGGCAGCTGTGCCGGTGATGCTGTTTCCATAGTCATGGCGGTTCTGGAAACTGATTCCACCTCTGCAGAAATTTCAGTGAGGTTTGGGCTCAGAGAATGCATTTCTTCCCTGTGATCCCTGGATCACAGAGAACCAGTGTGATGCCTCATATTTCCTGGAAAGAGGGTCAGGCAGCTGAGGATGTATCAGAAAAGGAAGTACATCTTCTCATGTTAAATAGAGTTAAATTATGGCATTTGCTACATTATTACATTCGTACCCCACCCCTTTTCCTCCTGCCAGGAACCCAAGGCAGCTTACATGACCCCGCTGTGCTTCATTTTACCCTCACAACTACCCTGTGATGTAGGCGGGTTGTGAGGCAGCAATTGAGCAGAAGGCATCCCTAAGAACAGGGGTCTCAAACTCGCGGCCCGCAGGCCAATTGCGGCCCGTGGGACTATATTTTGTGGCCCCCACTTGATATCAAAGTTTAGTGATAGTGCGGCCCGCGCGTTTTTCTCACATGCACCTGCGTGAGTCGTTACCCAAATGGAGCTAATTGACCTGCAGTGCAATTCTGCACTCAAAGCCAAGTTCAGGGAGGTGAGTGGAAAAGCAGACAAGCTTGGACAATTTTTGAGAGAATTGCCCCTTACCTTCCCTGAGCTTTCCAGGATGTTCAAGTGGACCATGTGCCTTTTTGGGAGCACCTATCTGTGTGAAAAGCTCTTCTCCACCATGAACTTTAATAAGTCAAAGTTCAGGTCCAAACTTACTGATGAGCATCTTCGAGCCATACTGAGGGTCTCAGTTGCTTCCTCCCTCAAGCCAAATGTGGCTCAGCTGTGTAAGAGGAAGTGCTGTCAGGTCTCTGGCAGCACGGAGTAGGAGGAAGTAAGAGAAGCCTATGTTCTGAAGAACCCTTCATGTTCTGAATTATTATTAGTAAAGATTGAGAAGATTGGATCAGTTGTACTTTTTTTGGAATACTTGAAATCCATTTTTTGTGGAATACTTGATGCGGCCCAGCCTCACCCAGACTCTACTTCCAGCGGCCCCCAGGTAAGTTGAGTTTGAGACCCCTGCCTAAGAACATAAGAGGAGCCCTGCTGGATCAAACCGCAGGTCCATCTGGTCCAGCATTCTGTTCCTATGGTGGCCAACTGGCAGGACTGGGACTAATCAGGGTTCCAGTCCTTGCTGAGCCATGGAGCCACTTGGGCCAGTCACAGACTCTCAGCCTGTCCTACCTCACAGGGTTGTTGTTGTGGAGATATGATTGAGAGTAGGAGGATTATGTGAACTGCTTTGAGTTCTTTGTAAGGAAAGGGTGGGATTTAAATCTAATAAAATAAATACAGTACACTGATTCTGTTGTTGTATTTTAAATTGTTTTATAGTGGTGGTTTTATCTGGTGCTGGCTTTATCAATGCTGTGTGTGCCTTCTGGGGAACAGCAGAGTATAAGCATTTTAAAGAAACAAAATAAAAAAAGTGTGGTTTCCTTCCTGTTTCAGAAGCTCCAGAGATGCCACCTCCTTCCCTGACTCTGGTAACCAGTATGAGGACACAGTTGCACATGGCTTTGGAGAGGAACTCCTGGCTCCAGAAACGAATCGAAGACCTGGAAGAAGAACGGGACTTCCTACGTTGCCAGCTGGACAAGTTCATCTCCTCTGCCCGCCTGGATGCTGGTAACAGGAGGGCTCTGGAGGTTAAGGGGGTACATGGGCTGGATTAGAATTGGGCCTCTGGATACTCCTGGAAGAAAGAATGTTCTAGTGTAGAGGTGGGCAGGAAGTAGATCTCCAGATGTTTTGGACTCCCAACTCCCAGCAATCCTGACCAATGAAGTCCAGAACAAATGAACTTCGTCCCCTTCCACCCACCCCTTTTCTAATGAAGATAACAAGGGAATGGCCATCAAGTGGGGAATCAGGATGCTCAGGCGCTTGGGAGGGGCATGCTGGGTTTAAATGGGTTAGAAACCAGAATAATCTGGAGAAAGAAATTGCAGTGGAAGCTGGGGTAACCTGAGGGTTGTTGCTGGACTACACATCCCATCAATCCTGCCCATTGGCTGTGATCATGGTGGAAGTGACAAGGCTTGTGGAGTTATACATCCCAGGTGTTGTCTTTTTATGGGGTCATATTTTACTCTGCTTTAGCTGTTTTTTTAAATGCTGCTTTAATGTTATGATATTTGCATTGTATTTCATTGCTTTGCATTGTATTTCGTTGGCTTTGTTTTTATGGATTGTTGGAAACCGCCCCAAGAGTTTTGGCTATGGGGTGGTACAGAAATGAACCAAACAATGACAATGACAAAAGTTGCCTGGGAACAGTTGGAAGGTCACCGCTTGCTGACCCCATTCAAAGAAAAGGGCCAACCCTCTAGAATCCTCTGTCTGGTGACACTGGGACTTCCTGCCATGCCGTTACGCCAAGTGGGGCTTTGCCTCCCTCTCCATGTGGCGTATTCTGCCCTTCCCCTCTCTCCACCACAGACGATCACTGCCGCAGCAAGCAGCCCCCACGGCGGTCGGAGGTGCCGGAGAGCCGGAACGGGGATGTGACGGATGACGACAGCATGGGCTCCTGGCTGAGTGGCAGCCCCGAGGAAGGGGGCTCCACGGAGCACAAGAAGCAGAAAGGGGGGGCCAACCGGCGGCGCTTCGTCAAACCTAAAGTCCGTGAGAGGCAGAGAGGTGAGTAGCCTGCAGGGAGCAATGGGCAGTGTCTCTTTCCTTGCAGAAATGGCTGGTCTTTTAACGCTCTCTGAGCAGCGATGGGTGAGTATAGATTTGATCTTTTCTTTAATGATGCATTCACTACGTAGAAAGTGGCTGTTGCTCCAACTGACAACCAGCCCAGTCTTTATTCTACCATATAATAAAACGGCATTCGTCTGTTGAATTTTGTCTATTTTGTCTAAATAAAATTCTTGTGAAAATAGCACATCAGAATTTCCCCTTTTCAACTTCCCAGTAATCTCTCTTTAACAGGGTAAATCAAGTCATTAATTTCATTGGAAATATTTCTTTATAAACAAAGCACTTTTCCTTTTCTCTTTCCCTTAAGCAATCTTGATTACATCTGTTATTTTAGGTTTATTTAAATGGCATTTTTTTCCTTGGCTCTTCAACCTAAGAAGTTCCCAGAATACTTTGTGTAAGTTCAGTAACAAACAAGATGGTCTCCGCCTTCACAATCTAAATGATATGATGCAAAAGGAATAGGTGAGGGGGAGGGAAGAAGAAAATGAGCAAACTCAAGGATCAGTTCTTAAAGTTACCAAGTTCTTATAAATGGCTTGAATGGAAATAGTCCAGGGTGAAGAGGAGCCCAATAAAGCGAGGCTCCAGGAGAACTGATGGATTGGGCCCTGCCTATTTAATTTCCTTCTGCTGCAGCCAGAAGAACTGGCTTCAGGCTTAATCTATCTAAGAACAAATTTTTTTAGTGTCCCCATGTGTCCCTAGATCCAATAGGGATGAATCTATCAGTGCCAGCTATGGAGATCCAAGAATGAAGTAAGTTTTCATGTTTTCAAGTGTTTAGATGTGATTACATCTCGCTCTTTATCCAGAAAACTGCTCTGCTATACCATATTTGCAAACAATGAAGCAGCTTAAGCAGATTTTCATATGTGTATTTGACTGATTTTATCAATTTGGGCTTTGGAATCACAAGGAGTTTTAATATTTTTCCCCAAGAACAATGATGGAGGAATAGAAGAGGGGCATATAACCACATGATCTGGTAGGAGGAAGTGGGCTTCAGGGCGGACATTTTGTTCACATTTTTGAAAAGAGAGTAGAGATTTATTTTGTCTGAGAAAAGAAGGTTGGGGGAAATCTTGTCTGAGAAATGGAAATGCCTATATGGATGTGATGTTTTTCTCACACACATGTGCACACATGCATGTATGCACAAAATCTATCCAACCTGTACAAATGCTGAAGAAACATGTATACATGATCCTATCCTTCTTTCTAGGCCTTCCCTCACAAAAACATTAAATCCTGATAAAATGGCTTCCATAATATTAAGAAATATTAATAATAGATCACTTAGATACGCCCCGGGGCTTTGTTGCGATGAGGGTGGCATAGAAATGTTTTAAATAAATACACACATACATACATACGTGTATTTGTCAGTTTTGACACCGTTGCTGGCTTTTACTTTGTTTTTATACAGCAGTTTTAAACTTTAAAAAGGCTTATGTTATGCTTTTTTGTGATACTGTATTTTACAGTGTTAACTGTTGTGAACTGCCCAGAGATGTACTAACTCTTCCCTTGCTTTCTTTTTCTTGTCCCTTCCACAATTTTTTCTCCATCACCCTGTTGCCCTGTTCTGTTTGCCTCATCTTCTTCCCCTTCATCTGACCTTGCCTATTACGATTTGTCCCTTGGTTAACTCTGCTTTTCTCCTCCACCTCTTCTTGCTTCTACCTGCCATCCTTTCTATGTGTGTGCCTCATTATCTACGGATGTTTTCCAACTTTGGAATAACATGATTTTTTATTCTAATTTTATTATTTTATTCTAACTTTCTCTTGGTTCTTCTTGTTTATTGTGGTTTCTGTGCCTGGTTGTGCCTTCCTGGACCCCTGACTGCTCATGGGCTGACACCTTACTCCTCTTTATTTTCCTGCTCCACAAACTGCTGCTTTGCTCATTCTCCCCATACTCTCCTGGTTTGTGGGTCTCCCCTGGGCATTCTCTGTCCAAACCCCAATCCGCTACGCAGTCAAAGATGTCGATGGTGTGTTGTGTCGCTACAAGAAGATCCTGTACACGTTTCAGAAGCTGCAAAGCATGAGCCGGGCCTTCGAGCACCACCGGGTGGACCGCAACACCGTGGCCCTGACCACGCCCATCGCCGAGCTCCTCATTGTGGCCCCTGAAAAGCTGGCCGAGGTGGGCGAATTTGACCCGTCCAAGGAGCGGCTGCTGGAGTACTCCCGCCGATGCTTCATGGCGCTGGACGACGAGACCCTCAAAAAAGTTCAGGCCCTCAAGAAGAGCAAACTGCTCCTGCCCATCACCTATCGGTTCAAGCGGAAAACGGACTCCCCTGGCCCGGCTGCCGGCACCCCGTTGCCCTCGCCTGCTACTCCACCCAAGCCGCTCCTACCCATTGTGGATTGTTACAAGCGATGATTTCCCCCCGTTTGCCAGAGGCCACTTCGCCAGCCCTTGCATCGTTCTTCCTGTCTAGCGTTCTCCCAGCTACTGCCGTGTTCCCCAGGGCCTTTCCGTGCTTCCTATCCACCGCCTCTCCTGCTTTCCCACAGTTTTGATGCTGAAACTGCCACTTCATAGGCAAGGCTGGCTCGCCCATGGGGCAAACAAGGTGCATTACCCAGGAGCACCTGTTCTTTTCGGGACAGCATCCAATCAGGCATGCCTATCTGATCAGACACTGATAAGGGCCTTCAAGGCCACTATGGGATGGGTCTTGCCTCTTTCACTGCCCTCTGGGAACTGGCGGAATGGACAGCCAGAAGAGAAATGGAGGCAGGCAGTGGCACAGCTAGGACTTGACCATGGGGCTGATATCTAAGAACCACGCTGCCAGGTCTTGCTCCCCAAACATCCATCCAGAGCACAGCAGGTAATGGTGGTGGCGGCAGACACACCTGGACTCTGCTGCTAGATTGGCATGGGCAGATAGAGACCTACCTGGGCTGTTGGCCATTGCCACCTTTTTTTAAATGTTTATCAGGTGTGCAGTTGCACAGGTGTGCAGTCTCTTTATCTGATCTAACATACCAGGCATATGCTAGGCAGAGTCAATTGTAGTATGGTGGTGTAGGGAGTGAAGAGAGCAATGTTCACTGGGAGTTTCACATCTGAAATTGCACACTTGACTATTTAAGAGTGTTACCCCAGAAGACCCTATAAGCTCTCGGGGTAAGATGACCCGGCTACACCACTGGGGGCAGAGGGAGCAACTTAGCAGGATAAACACATCTTGTACAGTTAAGGCGCAGCAGTGTAGGTTGTTTGACAGCAGTTGCAGCTTTAGGCTGGCCCCATTAGAATTGCCAGGTCTTTATGTGAAGCCTTGCAAATAAGTTAAGTACTCTTTTATCACCTAATTGTCCCAGGTGTGCAAGTCATTTGTGGCATGCCCACAGCCTGCAAAAGCAAAACATAAACATTTGCCAAAGAAAAAGTCCCTGCTTTGTTGCCTAGAGGCCATTTTAATTGCCACCACAAGCTCCTTTCCAGAGCTGCAAGTGCGAGTGGAATTGCTGCATTTCCAACCCTTGCTGCTTGGGGCAGCTTGGCCTCAAACCTGGAGGTAGTGCCTGCTCCCTTAAAAGCCTACTGTGGGCAATGGAATTCACCCACGGCACAGTCCACCCCACTGCTCTGTCCTCCTTTCTTGTCTGTTATGGGGCAAGAATAGAACCTGGTAGAGAAAGAAAGTGGCTGAACCTGAATGGGCTGTAGCAGTTCACCCCTATCATCGGATGCCATGGCCACCTTCTCTGTTTTCTGAGCCTTTAGCAGATGCTACTGGTACTTCGTCAAGCTTTGCTCTTCCTGCTGGCTGCCTTCTAATTTTCCTAAGATTGGAGGAATTCACTGCAGCCTTGAGCTGCCTCCACACACTTTCCTCTAGTCACCCAAAGAAGGCCCAGCATTCCACGATTCCTTTGCATTTCTTACCTCATGGCTGTCCTGGAAGGCACCCGGGGGCACCAGCTACCCACTTTCCTCGCTGTTGTCATAGTGCAGGTCCCCAACCTGGGCTCTGTTTTGCTGGCAATTTTGGGCCATTTACTCTTTTCCTTTTGCTCCCTGAGACAGGGTATGTGCACACATGTATGTATTAGCCCAAGCCAGAATGACTAATCACTGAGGATGATAGGAGTTGTAGTCAAAAAATGAGGATGATACCCAGTTGGAGAAGACTACCCTACACCTCTGTGGCTTCAAGATGCCACTGCGTATGTATGTCCACTCGTGTGTGTGTGCATGTGTGCACGTGTGCGCGCACGGGCACACAAGTGTGCAAGGGTTTGACTCCTATATCCCATTTCTTGGGGATGCCTCCTTTTTATTCAGTGTAATTAATGGACTCTTCCCACTGTGCCTGTAATTTCTCACCCAGTCTTTTTCTCTGTGTAAGAACATGAACAACAAAAAACCTAACTTAAAAAATAAAATGTTTAACAAATCAATTTACTAAAAGGGTTTAAATTAAAAAAGCATTTTGAATAAAACTCAGCAATGTGTGATTTTTGTCCTTCATGTAAGTTTGGGGGTTTTTTCATTGGTATAGTTGCTGCAAAAAGGGCTATTTGTGGCTGGTGAAGAGTGAACAAGGATTTGCAAGACCAGGTTCAAATCCTCTCTGGGAGCCCCTGGATTAAATAGGGGTTTTACTCACTTTCAGTTCTGTTTGTAAAATTGGAATATTAATATCTCTCATAAATGAGATAATTATTGTGAAATACATCTCAATAGGCACAACTGAAATTGGTGTTAATGAAGAAGATTTAAGGGATTGCTTCTGAAGGTGAGCAAGAATGCAAATATTTGACTTAAACAAAATACCTCCATGGAGCACAACAGAATGAGACAAAAACTGGAGATCACTGCATTGGTACAATAGAAAAAAATCCAAAAGTAACAGTAAGGTATTACTTTTAGAAGAAGCTTTGAGAAGATCACAAAGAAATGGGCAGGGTTTTGGGTTCCTAAGAACTTTCCAGGCTGGATCTGAACAGTCGGAGCAGAGGGTGGGGAGAGAAAGAAACTGCTGAGCACGCAGGAAAAGATGTATGGAAGTCTTAACAGCGTAGTCAATTTCGTTCAATGGGAGTTAGTGCTGGGTAAATGTGCATAGCATTTCAACCAAGATGGAATGGGGGGAAGATGCTACACTCCCAATTAGGTTATGTTTGGTAAGGAAAGAGTGCAAGTTGCAGGAAAGGTTATGGCAGCTCCCCCTTAGAAAGTAAAAATGCCAGTAAGTTTTTAGGCTCCATTTTTAGCAATCAATTGAAAGAGGTGTAAAGGAGAAGGGTATGAATAATAGCGGCTGACCCCTAGCTCTAGAGAGAATACTGCAACATGTGAATGACATCAGAACAATGCAGAGCTGAAGTCTGCACCAAACCTGGCAGGCAGATTTAGCTAAACTGTCAGTGCATTCTTGCAGAATCTCTCCCCCATTTCTTGTCACCCACCCATCCTGATACATGTGCACACACCCCATCCTCTCTAACCCCTCTGAATGCTCCCTAAAGTCCTTTTCTAAGTTCACTCTTAGTACCTTGGAAGAGAGCCACTGTAGTTCTCCCCCCTCGCCAGGCTGCAAGGTTCAGCCACTCTGAAGAGTCTCAGCTCTAAGGTTGGAGTTGCTTTTTGACCTCTGCTGGCACTCTTTAAAAAACCCTATGGCCCTCTAGACTGCTATTTAACCCCATCATCTAATGAGAAGGGACTCATTGGAGAAGACCCTGATAATGGGAATGATTGAAGGCAAAATGAGAAGGGGCCAGCAGAGGTCGAGGTGGCTGGAGGGGTCACTGGGAAGGTGGGTAAGGGGTTGGGGGGACTCCGGGGGATGGTGGAAGCCAGGAGAGCCTGGAGGATTGTTGCCCGTGGGGTCGTGAGGAGCCGGACACAACATTGTGACTAAACAACTACACAATTCACAAGAAAATCCGAAGGACATCAAAATACAGCCTCTATTGAAGTATGTAGAAATGCTAGTGTATCAATAAAACCTTATAGTCAAGTAAAATGGATACAACACCACAATTATACAGACTGGGCAGCACAGGGAAAACTGGGTAGAGAAATGGGTCTTCAACTGATGCCTATAGCATGATAGTTTGTGTCTCCTGAATACCAGGAGGGAATTTTGAGGCATTTTGTTGTGGTGCCTTCAGGTAGTTTCTCAAATTCCCAAAGCAGCCCTGGGTCCAAAAAGGCTGGTGATCCCTGCTCTGGATGTCAAATTCAACCTGTCATTATTCCCAGCCTGCATGACCAATTTTCAAGGATTATGGGAACTGTAATCCCAACATCTGCAAACCTTAGGTTCCCCACACCAGGACTAGACCATACCCTACAATGAAAGGTGCTTCAGGCATCTTTGCGACCTTACATGTCCGTATTTCGGCAAGAGCAACAGATGAGTTCTGGATGAAATTAATCGTATTTCTGCTTCTCATGCTGCAATCTTAAAAACACTGTGTAACTCAAGCCTCCCTACTGCAGCGTTAGGAATAGGGAAGCCTTATAAAAGCCATTTAAATATTGATTGTTGACTTAGGAAGTGAAGATTAAGGATCAAATTAATTGAGTTTTTAAAATTAATTTCCTGCCTCCTTTTACATCACATTCTCCACGTGGTTAGTAAGGCCTGCCTTTTTCAGCTTCATTCTCTTCAAGATTTAGTCTCTGTTAGAGGAAGGCCAGAATATAAACCGAACACAATAATCTCTCTCTCCGCCCCATCCCCCGAAGACGTAGACTGGCGGGGGCTCAAAGGCAAGAACTCTGCCGGATGCAGCCGAAGGGCGTCCAGCGGAAACGTCCGAGTACCGGAGCCAATCGGGAAGGATTCAGGAGCAACCGTCGCGTTTTGTTTCTCTTTTTCTTTTTTCAAAGCAGGCGTCCGAAGGGAGGAGTCAAGCGCCTGCCTCGCTTTGGAAAGGGGGCGGTGACGTTACCGGAAGTACCCGAACGGCTTCGGGAAACTTTGGGGCAACCTTTCCCGAGCGCTTATGGGAATACCTAAAAAAAGTGAGAGGAAGAGAATTGTTAGACTGAGGGGGAGGATCCCGAGCACGTTTCGAAAGGGCCTTCCGGAGATAGCCGAGTGTTTCCGCTAGCGGCCGAAGTCGCCACCGGAAGTTGCCGAAGTCAAAGGAAGGCGCTGCTGCGGCCTACTGCGTGAGGAGCTGCTGGTTAGCCAGGGCCATTGGAGTAGTCAGCGAGGCCGCGTTTGGCCTGTCCTCCTTATCCCTCCCTCCTCCGGCACCATGTCCGACTTCGACGAGTTCGAGCGGCAGCTCAATGAAAATAAACAGGGTGAGCGGGGAAAGGGGGGGTGGTAGCCGGAGCAGAGGGAAATTGAGGAAGAGGCGGAGGCCCTCCTCGGACGCTCGTGGCTCTCCTGCGCCCGCCACACGCTCTTGACGCGGCTCGGACGGGCGCGTGGAGCCGAGGCGGTGTCCGGAGGAGGAGGGCCGGGGCTCGCCCGCGGTCTCGCGTCGGGCAACTTCCTTGGTTCTTTCTTCCCTTCTCCTTGCTCCTGTGCTTATTGGCGGGAGAGCGAAGGCGGCGGTGTGGGGAGGAAGCAGGACCGTTGGTGGCTTTGCACGCGCGCCCTTCACTGAGCGGTGGTGGGAAATGCGCGGGGGTCTCTCCCTCTCCCTCATCCTGCTTTTTTCCCAGGAGAAGAGGGACTCTAAATCGATCCCTGTCGCTCGGCCGGCCTCACAGCCACTTCAGGAGCAGCTCTTTTAGTCATCTCTTTTCTCCCTCCGTGCGGGTTAGTAGGTCCCGGGGCTCTCGCTTGAGAAAGCACGTGATGTGATTTCCCTCCTACACACACACGCTAGATCAGCGCCTGCAGGGGAGGCCTCACATTATGTTATAGTACCCGTGAGGTGCACGATGAAAGAAAAGGTGGACTGTAAAACATACGGTAAAGCAAAACGAGTTCTGTATAGGGCACTTTGAATTCTGTAGTGAAAGGAAGGTAAGTTATTTAGACTGAGATATTATTTTTATTGGGGTTTTTTTTGCATCCTGCCTTTTTTTCTGCAAGGAGCTCAAGCTAGTTTGCATAATTTTTAACCTTTCCATGTTAAGATCACGACAACCTGGGTAGGAGGTTAGGCAGAGAATCCATGACTGACCGAAAGTCGCCTGGTGAGCTTCATGGTCGAGTGGAGATCAGATCCAAATCTCTCCCAGCTTTCTGTTACACCACACAAGCCCAGAGTGGTAACCCTCTTTTTTTAGGAACTCAGGAAGCTGCTTTATACTGAATCAGAATATTGTTCCACTGTAGCCACCTTTGTTTTACCTACAACGGCCTCTCTCCAGTGGTGTGCTCCAGAAAGGTTGGACTGTTGTGGCTGGGGATGATCGGATTAGAAGTACAACAAATCCTGAGGGCACCAGTTTGAGGAAAGCTAGTCTGCAATGACTAGCAGCAACTGTCCCAAGGTTTTAGACAGAAGCCTTTCTCAGTACTACCTGAAGATACTGCATATTGAACTAGGCATCTTTTCCCCCATTGTAGGCTACTAATTCCTTTTGTGGAATGTTCTCACATACTCACTGCTGGGAATATTTAACATCTGTTAATGACCTGGTTAGCATAAGTGTTAGCAATTGGGAGAACCTTGTGAGGAAAATGTGGTGATTCCTGGACTTACCAGCTTGCTCCCATAGCTGTTCATACTCCTAAATTGCTAAGAGAAGCAAAAGAGGGTAGCAGTGATAAAAATAGTAAAAGCAGTAGTCTGTAGCAATGAAACTTTCAGGGATTCAATTTTTCTGGATGATGGGATGCCTTGACCCACACTATCTTGAATATATTTCAACTCCTTAGAACAGACTTGCTTTAAAAACACTTTCTGAGCATAGCTAAGGATGGAAGTATGTCTCAAGCTAGTGTACCAGTGTCACCTTGATCTCCCATGTAGTACTCTATATTCTGTTCATCTCCCTCTTGTCTTTCAAATACTAGGCCAATGGAGCTCAGAAATCACTTTTACCGTAACCTACATTGCTCTGGGGGGTATGAAATCCTCATTAATTTATATTGGGTCTGAGAGAATTATGTATAGGAAACAAAGAAGCAAACTGTCCTCATTCATTTTTGCTTTATGGTGCTACATCACTCTTGCATACTCTTTAGCATCATAGTCTTTCTATGATGCATTAAGACAAATCAAGGCAAAATGATGCCTTAAGCAGAGACCGACCTTTATTAGATTTTCCCTGCTTCACCATGGCAGAGCATTTACATACCAAAGAGAACATCTGTAGAAGTGGCCTTTTCACATATACAGAAAAAAATGCAGATTGGCCACTTTTGTAAAGCTTCTCTGTTTGGTTGCAGAGGGCACTTATTTGCCATAGGTGACCAGACTAGTTGCTATTTGTAATCATGGCATAACGTGTCCCCATAGGAACTACAGAATAGGACATTCTTTATTTTAATACTATTCAGGCATTCCCTAACAGAGAC